TGCATTCTCAATTTAAAATTCTGACACTGCCTACTGCTCTATATGTACGCTCGTTCTGCTATTTGGCTAATTGTTCAGTTTGTTTTACATGCAGAGCTAGAAATTGGTCCAGGCACACGTTGGCCAACAGCCCGATTGCACAGCATCTCTGGCCGCTGGCTGTCCAAATGTTGCTCAATGAAATGCACGTCCAAGTGCCAAGCGACCTGTCATGGCGTTCGGTCCTTCACTGCTGCCCTGGTTCATAATAATTTAAATGCTCGGCACACAAAGTGGCCTGGCAAAGACAAACAGAGGTTAAACAAGCGCTGCATCTGCAAATTGCTACGTGACAGGACGCAATGCAATGGATGCGGACCACACACACACAGAGAGAGAGATCCATGCAGCAAGCAAGCTCATTTAAATACCAACAACTGCAGCAACCAAATTGGTACGACAAAAAAGTACATAGACGATGACGCCGATGTCTGCATCTGTGGCTGTATCTGAATCGGTGTCTATATGCGTGTGTATAAAGTGTGTAAGTGTGGCCTAAGTTGGACTTGAACCTGGATCTGGGATTCGGACTACAGTTCGATGGTTAATTTGGCATTGCATGCAACAAGCCTTCTGCAAACAGCAGGCGAGCCGCGTTGCAGCAGTGAGGATTGACGTCTGTGGCAGACAGGCAGAGTTACAAGCTGGCAGTACGAACATACAAATAAAAGGCAGTCAGACAGACAAATGACAGATCAACAACTAAGTAAGCAAATGGCGTTACAATAGAGCACGTTTTCGGTAACGGCATGCTTTGGAAATGAACTGCGACACTGGTCAAGTGGCTAACAACCCACATTGGAAAATACGTGTGTCTTCAGCTCATATAATATGATAAGAGAAGAGCAGTAGAAATCTCAATATAACTGAAACGATCTCAAGCGATTCCTAACAGCAGGTGGTTCACAACTTCAATGTATCTTGAACAAGGGAGCAACACGAGTAACAATAACAGAAAACTTCACAGGCAGACAAACAAAAAATACAACCAAGCTCTGTGGGGCAGGCTAGAAAGACAATCGCAGCACTCAGTGAGGTGTTCAGGCGCCCAGGTGCTTAGGCGAACTGGAGGGAAACAAAAAATAGGTATGAAATTAGGAACAGGACATTTTGCACTCGGGCAACATACGCTTGCCCACGAAAAGGATAAACTTTTTGTTAGTTAACAGAAAGAGACGGACAGGACTGGCCGTGCTGGTGCTGGAGCTGTTACTCTAACGGCACTACGGCATAAAAGAAACATAACTAATTTGCATAAAATGTTGAAACAGAGGCCAGGCAGTTGACACAGGCCCAGTTCAGCTCAGCTCAGCTCAGCGTGGGTATAGAGCCCGGACTTATCCAAACTTTGCCAACGGAAATCGAGTCAAGTCATAAGTAGGGAGTTGTTGTCCCCATCTCATGCTGCTCCACTGCTCTCTGCTGCTGCGACTGCCAACCAGGTAAATTTGTAGCCAACTCTGGCACGAAATTTGAAAATAGTAAACTAAGTGAAAACCACCACACCGCCAAACGAACCGCCCAGCGACCCACAGCGGTCCTTTTGCACATACATACATACATACATACATACATACTTGAAGACAACAACAAAATGCATAGAAACTTTTGCATGACAAAGTGAAAGCTCTGCACCCCAATTTTCTCTGAATACATTCATATGTACATATATGTATGTATGTATGTATGTAGTGTAACCGTTGTGGGTCTAACTAGCTTGCCATATTGGCGGTTCGTGTCCTTGCCTCTCTCGTGCATTGCCAGCAACAGGAACATGAGCTCTAAGACAAAGTCCTCTTCCCAAATGTCAGCGACACATTATGCGATGCAACTTCTACATACATAAGTATGTATGTACCCGTAACTTTATATACAAGTATGTATGTTCGTGTCATCTACGGAAACCGTACTTAAACTGTAATCCAAGCATACCAGGCACGCGACGCCCGAGAACATCGAACAAATCACCTCAAAATACAGATATAATTTCTTTGTGCAGCTTGGGAGAATTATTTCGCTAAAAGCAAACTTTTCATTTCCAGTTTCTTCAGCAGCTTAGCTTTTGAAATGCCAAAAAATATTTTTAGTCAAATGAAAATTAATTTAATTTATAATCATTTTAATAATTTTAAGACATTTTATATTTTTTTTATAAAATAAGAGAGAACGCTACAGTCGGGGAAGTCCGACATTAAAAAGACCTGTCCCCGAAAAAAAATCGGATACTGGGTAATACAAGTGTTATAGAATGCGCGCATGGCACTTACTTCTGCCAGAAGTTTTAGTTTGTGGGCATTGTACTGGTATTAATTTCAATTTAAAAGGTACATAGTACTTATGTGCAGCATAGATGAATTAATGGTTTAAAGAATAGGTGTCCTGTTCACGAAGTTTCAATAAAGTCATTCTGTCCATTTATGTGCATAATACTTTGTTCATACCCGTGCCCTCTTATTAACAACTATTTTCCGTCGTCCAAACCAATTGAAGTTCCGCCCCGGTTTGAAAAGCTTCTTGACAAACTAACTGAATTTCTGACTATCTTGTACATATCGACTTAGTATTCGATTATGTTTTATAGTAAATTGTTTTCCACCAAATACATACACAACGGTGGCAACCGTTTATAATTTCCTTATTAGCTATTCGATGGATAAAGAAGTACTTTTACTCCTTCTTGTAACACAATGTTGCTTAGTAAACTGGTTAATTCTTAATGAAAATGGGAACGAAGCCAAAAACTGATAATGCAGTTCCCGATTAAGTTCCCTGCGTCTACCAATATTTGTTAGGCAAGGCCAAGGGCGTACGCATGAGGGCAAGAGAGACCGCCCCTAAAAGAAATTCCGAATATGAAGTCGACCGCAGATTCATTATTATGGCTCACTATTTCGCCTCAAAATGGAACTGAGCTGGATTTGTTGACGTTTGTCTGTTGATAAATAAATTATTATTTCAGCTGCACCGTGCAGTAAGTATTTGATCAAAATTTTATTTTAGTGGCCCCCATTTGAAACGCTGTGTACGCCCTTGAACACGGCCGTTGGTATATATTAACATTAAGCACGAATTTTACGTACATATGTATATGTGAAAACGCATACATTTTTATTACTTCCCAAACAAATAATTATAAAAAAAAAAAAACATTGCCTTAAGTAAGCTTTATATTAAAAATTACAGTTTAGAACAATATTTTATCATATATATTGATATGAATATGTGTATAGTGGAATTATATCTATTATTAAAGAGACAAAGAAAATCGTAAAAAAAAAAAGAATTGTTGACTAAACTGGTACACTAGTCTCCAGAGGGCAATAGAATGAAAAGTACCAGCCAGCACGCAAATGGTACATTAAATATAATTGTAGCGCAAGAGATGAGTTTGTCTATCGCCTTAATAAATATTGGGGTTCTCGTGCAGTCGTTTTGTTGGATAGTGAAACGGTCCATTAGAAATCATTTTGAATCCATGATTTAAAAACAAGAACACATACATGTGTAGTAGAAATTTAGGACAGCAGCATCTTAAACATATTTTAAAAACAAAGTTGTAATAAAATTTGCCTTTGTATTTTGCAATGTTTGCAGACTTTTTATACCCTGTACCCAAAGGGTACAAGGGTATATTAGTTTTGTGCGAGTGCACATGGAACACACAGAAGGAGGCTTGGTAGACCCCACAAAGTATATATATTCTTGATCAGCATGACAAGCCGAGTCGATATAGCCATGTCCGTCTGTCCGTCTGTCCGTCTGTCCGTCTGTCTGTCCGTCTGTCTGTCCGTCTGTCTGTCTGTATGAACGCAAGGATCTCCGAAAGTATAAGAGCTAGAATAACCAAACTTGGTATACAGATTCTCCTGAGACCGAGAAAGGACGAGTTTGTTAATTTTTTCTGATCCGCCCCCCCCACTCCCCCCCTATTACTGATTTTCTATAACTCCCGTAATTCTTGGAATTTTGAACTAAAATTTGGTAGTCACATTAGGTTAGTAATTATATATCCGTATACCAAGTTTCATTATGATAGAATGATCGGAAAGAAAGTTATAGCCATATAACCAGGCCCAATGCACACATACATACATATGTACAAGTACACAAACACGCATAAGGCACGATTCTGATGTAAATGTAAATGTATCTATGCATGCATGGAATATTTTATATTTAATTTAGTTAATTAATTAAATTAATTTAGTTAATTAATTAAATTAATTTAGTTAATTAATTAAATTAAATTAATTAATGAAATAAATTAAATTAATTAATATAATAAAATTAATTTAATTAATTTTTTGTGGGGTGGTACAGGGTATTTAAGAGTTGAGCCTGCTCGACTTTAGCATTCCTTTCTTGTTCTTAATTGCTTCGGGATGTCTAAATTCAGAAGCACACGATAGCAAAAATATACTGTACTAGAAGCAAACTAAGAAACTCGAAAGCTGCAGGATGCATTTATTTTAAGCTTTAAATATTGTTTAATGACTTTTGACTATTTAATATGTTGTGGTCGTAAAAATATTCATTCTAACAAGAATGGAATTGAGTTTCTGAAAAAAATGCATTTATTGAAGTCAAATTTTGGATAAAATTTCTACTCCTATATACTAACAGTCGCATCTTATTCACAATGCTTATCTATCAGATTTCTTTGCTTACAGCTACATAAGTATGTTGTTAAAACAATACTATTTGTGATTTTCTATTACTCATAAAGCTAAAGATTGAGTAAGCTAGTTATTTTCAAATCTAATCTATATGCAACATACATATGTTTATGCTTAAACAGGAATGTAAGAGTCGAGAAGTCCCAACTTTTCCTGATACATTATCGAACAAACTTCGATGTTACTTCGGAATATACTGTTAATGCCTAATAACGATATTCAAGAAATTACTTCGTACACAATTAAGTAAGTTGAGCTAAAGTCCTGCTTTCTCTCTCTTTACAGCCTGGTCAATCAATCCATGCCAGAAGCAGGCAAGGTGCGTAAGATGGTGGCGCGGGCTCTTAGTGTTTGGGAAAACAATTCAAAGTTGACATTTCGTGAAGTGTACAGCGATCAGGCGGACATACAAGTGCTGTTTGCAAGGTGAGTGCAAAATGCAGTGGGGTTGGGAGATGGCGATTAGAAGTGGGGCTTGTTTCGCAAATATTGCCTTTCCGAAGTGTGTCATAAAAAGTGACTTTAGTGCCATAAACATGGAAACCAGGCAAACACATAAAAACGCACTTAAAACCAGGCAACGATAAATAAGCCAAGTGCTAAGCTGATGACGAGGATGGCTATGACGATTATGATTCTGATTCTGGTGCTGCTGCATGAAGGCAAAAGCAACTTGGAGGAGCCAATTGCAAATCAAAGAGTTTATGTGGCATGCTCTGGCTTGGCGCTGTTTCTACATAGATAAGCGGCGCGTATAATTCTTTATTTTAAAATGCTAAGCAACAGCTGTTCTCCAATCATTGCAGGCGCGATCATGGCGATGGATATAAGTTCGATGGACCCGGCCAAGTGCTGGCTCACGCCTTCTACCCTGGTGTGGGACGCGGCGGCGATGCACATTTTGATGCGGAGGAGATCTGGCAGTTTGATGCAGACAACGATGATAACCGAGGTACGTGTGGCCACCAGCCACTAAATTAATATTTAATTTTTGACATGAATTAATTACATTTGAAAATAATGTGTGTGTTTGTCCGAGAGCAGCGGCTGTTTCCGCGGTTGCATTCAAAACTGCTAGTGGAATGCCAGCGTCGCAACCGCAGCCCGGTGGGCAGAGAGGCAAAATCAATAAGTGTTGCATACGCTGCGGCGCATTGCCCGACCGTGACTAACGGACCCGCCTGCCTGCCTGCCTGCTTGCCTGCTTGCCTTTCCTTCTTGCATGCTTTTTGTAATTTAGCTCAATAAATCGTTGTCGGTCGAGGGGCAAACCCCTTTCGCTGCAGCCTCGATTTTGAATGGTTTTTAATGCCTTTCAAAATTGTCAGCATGACGCGTGACGTCGTCGCATTTGCCGCCATTGTCTGACATGGTCCTGCTTTATGGGCGACGCAGTTTGAAATGTTTCAGTGACGCCATTTTTATGCCACTTACAAAGTCGTCAAGGCAACAACGGCGGCGGCAACTGCAGCGACAGCCACGAAGTCAGAGTGCAACTTTAAACCCCTGCCATTAACAAACTATGTATCTACTATACGCGTACTATAGCTTCATGTCTTTTACCGTGTCAGGTACGAACTTTTTGAATGTCGCTCTGCACGAACTAGGCCACTCGCTAGGTCTGGGTCACTCGTCGGACTCAAATGCGGTTATGTTTCCCTGGTATCAGAGCAACGAAGTGGATGGCAAGCTGCCCGACGACGATCGGAATGGCATTCAGGAGCTCTATGGCGCCAAGGATAAGACTTGGGGACCCTATAGACCACGCGCCACAGCCCGTACCACAACGACTACTACAACAACAACTATGCGACCTATGGTCTACTTCCCACAGCGACCAAACGTTCCAACGCGTCGTTATCCATACTACACCGAGAGGCCACTCTACCGTCCGCATAATCCACGCCAGACAGAACGACCAACCGCCGCCACCAGGGCCACGCCGCGCACTTATCCTACGGTCAGAAACTATCCTACTGCCAGAACCTATCCCAAAAAGCCAACAAAGCCGCGAAAGATAAAGCCAGACACCTGTCGGACCCACTACGACGCCATATCCATGATACGCAACGAGCTCTTCATATTCAGAGGACAGGTACGGATGGAAGCCCAATGGCTATCTACAGATTTCTCGAATCTAATAATCTATTTACAGTATCTTTGGCGTATCGGAGCAAATGGTATGTACGCCGGCTATCCCACTGAGACGCGTCGCCACTGGGCCGCACTACCCGAGGACTTCAAGCGCGTCGATGCCGTCTATGAGGATAAAAAGCTAGGGATAATATTCTTTATAGGTACGTGCGAGTAACTACAATAAATTTATGGTCCCATGTAACATTTTTCATTAAAAAACAAAACACACTGCACTTTATTGTATTAACTCTCACAAGTATGAAAATTGATGCCCTTTTTTCTTTTTTTTTAACAAGAATTTCGCCATATGAATTCGACCACACATTCATTATTATGGCGAACTACTTATTTCGCCTAAAAATTGAACTGAGTTGGATTTGTTGAAGTTTTTTTTATTGGAAAAAGCTGCGTACGCCCTTGGTTATGTCTATAACATTAATACGTATATTGTTAGTTATAATATAAAACAAAACTATTTCCAATTCACAGGTCGATACTACTATGCATTCGACACCGTCACACTCATAACTGGCTATCCACAACCGCTTACATCGTTGGGTCTGCCGTCCACACTGTCGCACATCGATTCCGCTTTTGTTTGGGGCCACAACAATCACACTTACCTGACTAGTGGCACGCTCTATTGGCGACTGGACGACAGCACTGGTAAAGTGGATCCCACCTATCCATACGACATGTCCTTTTGGGGGGTGGGCTACAACATCGACGCCGCCTTCCAGTATTCAGACGGCAAGACCTATTTCTTTAAAAAGGAGGGCTACTGGGAGTTCGATGACAACCGTATGAAACCGACGCAAGTGCTTCCCCAAAGCTCGGCACACAAGTGGATGCGCTGCTCTCGCAGCGACAACGACGTGAACAAGGAACAGCGCTGGACAGCACCGCTGGTCTCGGGCGTGGATGAGGTCGATTCCGAAGACAAAGCTGGGAATGCCGCAGGACGTGCATATTCTGTTGCAATTATTCTGCCTACCCTTCTCCATATATATAGCATATGGCGTAGTTAAAACTTACTCTAAGCGGTTTAGTTTGGCATCTAAACAGCTTCTGGTGAAGTATAAGGTGCGTTCCAAAGTAAGCAAAGCTATTGGAATATTAGGACTCAACCCAACTTCCTAGAATATGACCAACTGAAAACCAACTTCTTGGCAAAGCCTTGATTCAAACGTTTCAGTTAATGAACCATGCCTTATCCACGGCAGAGTTCACGAGGGGTATACATGTTCTAAAAAATTCGTGCACGAATGCGAGCTCTTCTATTTTAAAAAAGCACGAATAATGATGGAAAAAAAATTCATATAGTCTAATTCGTTTTTCGTTTTATTTAATCATTATGTATTATGCATAATGTATTCTACTGAAATTCCTTACTTATTTCTCAGAGCGAGTTTTGGATATCTTCTATTGTCGTATGTACCTACATGCTGCAGGCATTTACGGCCTAGAATTTAATGCACCCCTACCGTATAGCTTTAGACCATGAACATCGCTTGCTACATATATTTACATATGTTGCCAGCCTTTTATATTTTTCACAAGTTATGTTTACCTTGAACCGCACCTTGTAGTAAATTTTCTTCAAAAATTATGCACTTTTTCTCTTCCGTTCAGAGAAAATATAAATTTGTCATCAAATAAGAACCTGTTTTGCTGTTGTTTTTTTTTAGTCCAAGCTAATCGGTTTAGAGTAATACTTTTATGAAATTGAACTTTATTGTCGGTTATGCTGTGCGAAGTTCAAATCCGGACTACTCATTCGTATTTAAGTAAATATTTTATATTTTAATAAAAGATAGTTAATCGTTGCGATCGCAGCTGTCTAACAGCTTAGAGTACGTGCTACACGATTGTACACAAGCGGCCTTAGATAGTATTCATGACTCAATTCAAATTTGATTCCATATACATAATAATTTTTCAACTGTATTCTATGCCATAATAATACCCATTTATACCTACTTGTATTTCTTTAAATAGTATGTTGCATTTCAAGAGCCATCGGGAAAAGTGTTTCATACAATTTGAATAATTTTATCAATAAGCACGAAATAAATTGCTTAGTAAGTCAACCGTCAATCATTCAATTTGTGCTTTTATTGTATTATTCATAATATTCTATGCATATAACATACTATATTATACTGTATTGTATTGTCTGATATAAGTACACATACTACTTTTGCACGCATTGAAATTACCTACTAGCTAATAAAGAGTTTGTAAGAGTTGTATGTAAAAAAAAGAGAGGGGAATGATCAAGTGCTTAGATTTAAGGACACGTATTTCCAACATTTGAAAAGCCAGCACTGCCTTATAAAACATACTAAGTTAATGTTTATCACCTAAAGTTTAAACACTACAGAAACGCCTATACGAGTAGCTGTGAACTATCCACGCATTTTTCTTAATTCAAAAACAACATTTTGGGGATTTTTATTTATAATTTAAATAATGTGATATTACAATAAATTCAATAACTTGCATACAAATACATAATTTTTAATGGGTATTGGGTAATTGCGTTCATAATTAGAGTGGACTGTTTTCTTATATTTTGTTTAGCCTTTATTAACAATTCAATAAAATGTTTCTGCACGCAGGTAATTTGTCGAAAATATCCTACACCATTTGGCTATATTCTCCGTTTTTTAACCCAACCCAGCAAAATTCGACGAGGAGAATGTATACAAGGAAACAACATAAGTATACTGCAATTTGAACTGAATCGGACCACCATATCCTACAGCTATCATAAGGACATCAGCTTATACAGGAAAGAAATGCTACAGTCCAGCGGGCCCAACTCTTAAATACCCTGTACCCACTCCCAAACAAATAGATATATATTTTGATCGACTATGCCTCCTTCGATATTTGAACTCACGTAAAGGGTGTATAAGGAACTGTGTCTACAAGGTGCGTTCCAAAGTACGTTATAACCTGCTATCTTTATCGATTGTCCAGTGACATGACATTTCATCGATTGGAAGTGAAGTTATTGCGTTTAAAGTGTCAATATGTTTGTGTTATCGGGTCGAAAATGAGCTAGAGCCAACATTAAATTTTGTTTTAAAATTGGTAACACTTTTACCGAAACGTTTCAATTGATGGAACAAGCTTATGGCGATGATTGCCTGTCCTGTAGCAGAGTGCACGAGTGGTTTCAACGTTTTCAAAGTGGTCGTGAGGACATAATGACGATCAACATGTGGGCCAATCAAAATTCGTGATCACCGAAAATTCCATCGAACCTGAAGCCGAGATCATCATTGAAATTGATGTAAATGGAATTGAACATCTCCAAAACATCGATTTATCGCATTTTGACCGAATATTTGGGCTTACGAAAGGTGTGTGCACGGTTTGTTCCGCACAAATTGACAGATGACCAATAATTGCTCTCATCGATGGACGCTTGTGACCGATTATTTGACCAAAAATCACATTTTAACCTTTTGTATTGTGCAAAAAGCTGTATTGAAGCCGAAGGAGACTATTTTGAATAAAATAAATCGATTTTGCCGAAAAAACCATTTGTTCTGTTAAAAAGCTTTAAAAAGTCCTGTTTACTTTGGAACACACCTTGTATGTGAGTCTATGCGTGTCCGTGTGTGTCTGCGTGTGTCTGTGCAAAGCAGTAGCAACAATAACAGCGGCGGGCAGAACCTGGACAGAGATACATATATGGTTATAACTTCCTTTCAAATTAACCTATCAGGATGAAGCATTCTAACTGGAGGTAGTTTCCTGGAGGTAATTTGAGTTCGAAGCTCCAAGAACTAGATCGATCCCCGCACTCATACATACCAGCGGACATTTCTAAAAAAAAAAACCGTCATGTCATTCTAATCAGGAATACTATACATTTTTTTGCGGTCTAGAACGCCATCTTTGTTTGTTCTTATAAACTTATTGTGGAATACTAAAGTCGAACAGGGTTGACGCAAATCTTTTTATACGCTTTACCGGAAGAAAGCAAAGGAATAAACACGTGGAGAAGCTAAAGTTGGGTGTCCCGGCTTTGGAATACTCTGCACTATATGTAGAATAATTATAAAAGTTGAAAAAATTACGAAAATTTAAAAAAATTAAGAAAGTTTAAAAAAAATGTCATCGATTTTACCTCCCTTGGTATTCGAACTCACGTAAATGGTGTATAATTGCACATTTACATAGGAATTGTGTCTATGAGAGTGTATGTTTGTCTATGCGCGTCAATTCGTGTCTGTGTGAGCATGTTTGCAGTCAGCCAAAGCACGAGCATCAACCACAGCTACGCGCAGCGCTTTGGCGGCGATATTTATACCTATACTAACCTATATACCTTCCTGTTAAATCGGTCTATAATAAAACTTGGCATACGGACAAATAATCACTAACTGGGGGTATTTGCAAAATTTGTAATTTCGAAATTCCATGAATTACGGGAGTTATGTGAGATAACTAATTGCGGAGATGAGGGGGAGGGAGCGAAATTTCAAAATACACATTTTCTGCGTTTTCACATAAGGCATCTGCGACTTAGCTCTAGCTCTTATAGTCTTTGAGATTCAGGTGTTCATACGGACAGACAGACAGGCATAGATCGACTCGTCTTGTCATGCTGATCAAGAATATATGTATATACTTTGTGGGGTCTGCCACGCCTCCTTCTGTTACATTTTTCACCACAACCCTAATATACTATACTCTTGTACATTTTATGTACAGAGTATAAAATAAGAGAGAACGCTACAGTCGAGCAAGCCCGACAGAGAAATACCCTGTTCCCAGGTAAACTTCCGGTATATGCGCCTCTAGCAGAAGCAAAAGGAAGAAGAAGAGTGAATTTGATGCTGCAGCTTGTGGGCGTAGTACCGGAGTCATGAAATTTGAAACAAGAGTAGATAATTATATATAAATTATGTTTGTTTAATGCAGCTTTTGAAATGTGGACGGTATTGACGAAATTCTGTAGCGTGGGAAAGGGGGGGGGGGGGGGGGGGGGGGGGGGGAATTCAAAAAAATAAACAAAAACACCTGTAGCCTAGGGACTAGCAGCGTCTACATACCAAGTTTGGTTAATGTACGCTCAACCGTTTCCGAAATCCAAGCGTTCATCCAGACGGACGGACAGACGGAAGGACAGGCGGACGGACGGATTTCGATTTCTCTCGTCATGTTGATTCAGAATATATACACTTTATGGGATCGGAGATGCTTCCTTCTGCATGTTACATACATTGCACAAACCTAATATACCCTTTTTTCCCTACGGGTACAGATTATTAAAAAATTTAACACGTAGGTAGAGACATATGTATGTTTGTATATATTGTAGTATAATTATCATAAGTTTATATCCTGATTGCTTTGCTGACCCCACAAACCATATTCTCGGACTTAGGAATCTGCTATCAAGTTTGGCTATTCCTCTTATACTTTTTGCGATCAGTGCACATTCGCACAAAACTAATAAACTTCTTTACCCTTTAGGTACAGGTATATAAATGGGTATGCGTCATCAGAGCAGCCCTAAGTATATAATTTAGGCAAAACCATTTTTTCGTGGAGCGTATAATAAATACGTCTTACAAGTATTACACTTGTTTTTTATTGGCCTTATGTAATCTGAATTATTTAATCTACAGCCCAATTATTGAACGCGTTAGATTATTTCCAAAGTTCTATTTCACTAAAAGGTCTTATAGAAGAGTCAAAAACATTAACAAATATGCATTTAGAAATTGAATGTACATATGTATATACTATACGAGTATATGAATATCTTAGTACCCGTATATCCAATACCAATAAAGCGCGATAACATGATATTTCCATGTTCGTGTCGAACAATTGCACAAGTTTTACCATTTTTGAAGCGAAAGCGGTATCATGTTCGTATCGTATTAAAGATAGAGTCGTTATCTACGCGATAGGCGTGTACGCATGCAAAGCTGGAGATATTTAGACTTACATACATACTACTATATCTATAATGGCAAGGGCAGTTCACTTGCCCCTGAAATGGAGCGCTGTAAAAGACAATTAAAGTTGCGAGCGGCAACAACTGCATCAAAAATGAAACGCTTGCATTAACGACGGCTATTTTTGTAGTCATTAGTTTGTGTTGTTGCCATCTAATCGTAGGAGTTAAGTGGCCTACCTGGGAACTGATTGCACCCGAGCACTGACGCCTGCTCTCTTGCACAACATAACAATCTCTTAGCTCCTGCTCTTACCCACCCACCCATTGAAGCAACCACATTCAAGTTTCTTTGGGCCATGCGTCATGCCGAGTGACGACACATACCAACCGAAGTCGCATGCAGCGCAATGACAGTAGGCGAGGCAAGCGCTGCTGCCTATACTCGTGCAATACCCGGAGCGGCCAAAATCGGCAGCTATAACGTATACTTGTAGAGCGGCAGTCAAGCGCCCACAGTCAATTCAAGCGGTACGTCGACAATTTGTAGCGGACAAATAAAATCACGCGAAGAAGAACACCGACAAATTAGACACCTACATACACGTACAGGCACATCCATAGCGATTCATTAAATTAAAGACAATTGTGAGTAAAGGTCGTGAGCGTCCACTTCCAAGAGCATGTACATACATATGTGTTAAGGCAAGAAATTGATGTTTTTGTAACTCAGATCCCACTTGATATCTGTCGCTAAGGAGGGTATTTTTGCTATCTTATACAGCAATTACAATGAAGCTATCACGCAATTCGCACTGTGCTCTCTAATCAAACCCATAATATTTCTTGCTGACTAATGAGATCAGATGGGCTACAATATACTCGTAGATCTGCCACTAGCGGCGGGCCAATCTAATCAATGGCCCGGCTTTTTAGCCAATGGTGACTAAGTTATCAAACTTTGAAACTTCCTGCGCTTAGGTGTAGCCCAATTTTTCAAGAGTTTTCCAAGCGTCGAGCAACATTAGTAACATATGCTAATCTTATCGGACAAAACGTCAACACGTACATACATACATACGCGGACAGCACCTGTTGAACAATGACAGTGGCATATCGAAAATAGCAACAACAACGCAAGCAGCAAATTTAGGCGACAATTAGCGGTGCGCTCAATAAATCATATTTTTGTGTTTATTTTTTACACTAGTGATAAATATGTCCGATTCAAACAACAACGTCATACGCCCCTTGAGCGCAGAACTGGAGCAGAACGCCCAGGAGCAGCTAGGCGAGGTGCCTGAGCGCATACCCGAAGACATTGAAATGTTGCGAGTATGGATCTCGAAACAGCCACATCTGAAAGCCTGCACAGATGCCCAGTTTCTAGTGGCCTTTTTGCGTGGCTGCAAATACAGTTTGGAAAAGACCAAACAAAAGTTAGACAATTTCTACGCCATGCGCGGTGCCGTCCCGGAGCTGTACAAAAATCGCTTGGTAGAGAATAAACAGCTTGACATACTCAAAACTGGGTAGGTAATATGAATTCCTTATTTCATTTAAACAGGCTCCTCATGCACAAATATTCAATAAGATAACGTCACTGTTGCCCATCACACTCCATATCGGTCCGCATAAACACCCTTAACAAGTAGAGGTACCCTCAAGAAAGAAAATAACTCTTATATTTTAAAGAAGATAGTGTTTCATTTAACATTTCATCTTATAAGTGTAAATATAATTTTCGTTCGGTCAAGTAATGTTCCAAGAACTTACATCATTTAATCAGTTTCGCAGGGGTACATGGCTTCGATACATCATCAAATTCGGTATTATCGGATACGTCTCAGCTAAGAAAGATTTTGGAAACAATGAAAAGACTCAGTCAGAAGCAAAGTCGGTTAAGAAAGGTCTGTAGGGTAGCAATTCGTAATGTAGAATGTAACGAAAAAATGTCACGGCATTTGCGGATGAATATGTTACTACGATTAACGTAGTGGAACAAAACTTCTGTTTTAATTTCTTACCGATTCGATTCCAGTGATTGTGTCAGGTGTACTGCCCCCACTACTAAGCTCCTTATATAACTTAAGATTTAATCAAATCGAAGACGAGAAGAGACAAGTCTATTCGTCCGTCTATCACTTAAGATTAGGCTACCATTACAGGAAGAGTAACCAAACATACAGGGTGCGCTATCTTTTATGTCGGTATGTAAATATTGAATAACTTTGTCATTAGTGAACCGATTGACTTGAGTAGACCAGTGTTGAAAACCTCAGTTCAGCACAATTTTAATCACGAATCGCTTCACTCCGAAAGAACGCGCTGAATAGCGCTTTACATTGAAAATAGTCGTTCAGTTGTGTTAACTCAACGTGCATATCGTCGAAAATATCGCGACAAACAGGCACCATCTGACAACACTATTCGTCGTTTATTTTCAAATTGTCTTGAGCACGGGACAGTGGAAGATTGACGTTCCAATGAACTGATTGAAATGGTAAAAGAGAGTGTTGCCCAGGACCCAAATGTGTCGTATCGCCACCGTGCTCAGCATTTTAACGTCAGTGGAACCACTTTGCGGCGCATTTTAAAGGACGATTTGCATTTGTTTCCGTATAAAGTGCAATTAACTCAAATAATTTTGCCGACAAACTGTCCACGTCGCTTGGAATACGGCCAAACAGTATCGGTGGATGTTGGCTCATTATGTCTGCCCGCAAATGCGTGAAAAAGGTCTGAACGGTTACTGGTTTCAACAAGACGGTGCGCCATGCCATACTGCAAATAAAACAATTCCCTGGACGTCTGGTATCAAAAAAAGGCGATATTGATTGACTACCCAGATCTCCAGATTTGACGCCTCCGGACTTCTTTTTGTGGGGATATTTGAAAAGCAAAGTTTACGCCAGCAAGCCTCAAACCATTGACGAGCTCAAGGCAAATATTCGTGCAGAAATCATCGCTATACCACCTGAGATGCTAGAAAAAGTGATGGAAAACGCAGCAAAAAGGGCACATTTTGCTGTGTCCAATAAAGGCGGCCACTTGATTGATGTTGTTTTCAAAAATTAGTCTGAACAAATTGTACAGATAAAAATATCTCATACTTGAAAATCGGTTGTTTATTTTCAAAGATATTCATTGTTTACACACCGACATAAAAGATGGCGCACCCTGTAGTAACCATAGGAAAGAATTTTTATAATCTCACACCTTATGGTCAATGAAGTAATCTATTTTCTAGATTCAAAATATAACAAATCTTAACCTCTTTTTATTGTTATGTTATGTACTCCGTGCATGAAATGTATATTCTTGATCAGCATTGCAAGGCGAGTCGATCTGCAACTGAATCTCAGAGACTATAAGAGCTAGAGACACCAAATTTAACACAAAGATGCCTTCTGTGTGTACGCTATGTGCGTTTTATTTTTTTATTTTCCTCCGACTTCCTGCTATGACGGATTTTCGGAAACTCCATTTCAGAATTTCTGTCCCTCCTCCTCTTCGCCGCAATTAGTGATTTTCCATAATTCCCGCAATTCTTGAAATTTCGAACTCAAATTTGGCAAATATCTCCAATTAGTGATTATGAGTATGACAAGTTTCATTATTTTGGGCCGATTTTAAATGCAGTTATAGCCATAACTGTAATCTTTGCCCAAACGCCGCCCGCAGCTGTTGTTGCAGCTTAGGCTCAACTCTGTACTGCATAAATACCCACACACAGACACCCATATACTCACATAGACTCAATTCCTATATATGTAAATGTACATTTATACACCCTTTAAATGAGTTTGAATACCAAGAGAGGTAAAATGGGTCAACAAATTAGAATTTTTTTTATATTTCTATAGTTATTTTACACATACATACAAGTATGTACGGGGTATTTCATTTCGGGACACCCAACTTTAGCCTTTCCATTAGTTTATTAAAAATTTATTTAAACGATGTACTATTTATTATCAATATATCTTAAAGATGTCTGCTCCGTCTCCCTAAGCCGCTAAAGGAAGCTGGCCCACGTATACACGTCTCCCGCTACGGCCACTACGATTCCAATAAGTATTCTATTGCGGAAGTGCTGCAGGTGAGCACCATGCTGGGGGAAATACAAATTCGCGAAGACGACAATGCCATGGTAATGGGCTTTGTGGAGATTATCGACATGAAGGGTGTGGGTGCAGGCCATTTGTTTCAGTTTGATGCAGTGCTGGTCAAAAAATTGGCTGTGTTGGGAGACAAGGCCTGGCCCTATCGCCCCAAGGGTTTTCACTTTGTCAATGCACCAACTAGTGCCGAGAAATTTATGTCAATAGCTAAGAGCTTGATGAGCGAAAAAATACGCAAGCGCGTAAGTGCAAGAAATTATTTATTACTGTTTATTGTATATTAAAATATTATAATGTACCTTACAGTTCCACATACACTCCAAACTAGAAAGTCTATACGAATACGTGCCAAAAGAGTGTTTGCCAACAGAGTATGGCGGCAGTAATGGGACTATTCAGAATGTTGTCGACACATGGACCCAGAAACTGCTGTCATACAAAGAATTTTTTGAGGAGGATGCACAATATGGCACAAATGAGAAGCTGCGGCGTGGCCAGCCGGTAAACTCCGAATCCTTGTTTGGCATAGAGGGTTCTTTTAGAAAGTTGGATATTGACTAGTTCAATACTTAGAGTAATAAAGATTGAAGATATGTTAACTATATAAGAATAAATAAAAAGTAAAACACCTAAAATGCCAAGAAATAAAATAAAAAACAAATACCTTTTGTATAATGAAAATGATCCCGAACGTAATTATATAAGTCCTACTGCCGCCGATTCCTACATATCGGCAAAAAAAAAAAAACCTCCTCCTCCACCACCATTAATACCCAAACTTAGTATCCAGGTTCTTCTTCAAGAAAGGTATAGTTTATTTATTTTTGCGATGCACATCTCCACTAATCCGTTTATAATATTCTTTCGAATCTCTCGTATTTAACAATTAATCCGGTTTTTGCTTGTGTCGAAGCCAAACTTTATCGTAATACGTAAATTCTGAAGGAATTATTATTATTATAAGTGCGATGCTCTGTCTTCGATGTTGCTGCTTCGTTGTCGTTGCAGCACACATAGACAAAACTTTATTTATTTATATATAGTATGTACATATACTACAAGGCAATAACTTAAGCATAACAGTGCGTAACAAAGAGACTTGATAAATGCTAAAAACGTGAATCTTTTTGGAGACAACTACAGCTTAGCTAAAGCAGCCTGCTTAGATTTTACGGAGATAAATGAATGCGCTTCATCGAAGTAGGGATTGGATTCCTGGCGTACACGTTGAAGCCACTTGAATACCTTGGGAAATTTCTTCTCGTTCACTTTATACTGGCATAGTTCTATAAATATAATATTGTCATAGAGAGTTATGTACATATATAATAAAAAAATGACAAACTTAATTGCTCAATTTCAGTTGCTCCAAACAAATCTGCCACAGTTAGCTGCTGTCCGGTCAAAAAGTCATTGTCCAGCCAAAGACGCTCAATAAGGCTTAAATTACTTTCCACATTTTTGATCATTTTATCGATGTTCTCCGCGCTTGGCTTGGGTGCTAACCTATTTATTGGTAAGAGCCATGCTTGCATAAAGTAGTAACCACAACTCATTCGCACGCTCAAGTGCTGCCATTCCAAAAACTCATCGACACGGGCGCGCTCCTTTATATTCTTGGGATAGAGTTTTTCACTAAATTGACCTTTGTCCGAGAGGTACCGCAGTATAGCTATACTCTCGCTGAGATGAAAGTCACCATCCACCAGTGCCGGTACTTTTTGGAAGCGATTGATTTGTTTATACTCATCAGTTAACTGCTCACCTATTATTTGTTTTAATGGAGTTAATAATTTTTTTAAACATTAAATTTTACTAACGTTTTCGCAATGCTACCGGACAGTCCTTAAAAGGGGTCTTGCCCAATTTGAATGATATCCACAGAGCACGCGATGGTTGCGACATCAGATCATAATAAAATTTGAAAATACTTGACATTGTTTACTATTATTTAGTTGTTTATTTTTTTGATCTTGTAGAAAACTGCAATTCTTTTTTGACTCCAGTAAAAAACAAACAGCTGTCGGTTCAACAAGAGTGTACAAAGGGCATATTGTCATTTAACAACACTGTTATGTATTGAGCAGATGATTGTGTAGATTCGATATTTATAGTTATCTCCCTCGCACTGATAATCTTAATAAAACAAAACAAAGCGCGAAAAATGTATATTTCAAATATAAAATTATATGCTTAAATGTACATATGCATAATTTTTTAGATACACATGTACATTCATTTGTATTTATATACTCAGCCAATGTTCACACAACTTGAACTAAACTAAAATTAAGCAAAAGAACAACTTAAATATTATTTGGAAACACGAAGTGTATAAAACTACCTAAAAATAACTTTTAGCTACAATACTTGTATATTGAAAGTTAAAAAACAGGTCTCTTGAATTATTTTTATCTGGTAGCCAATCCAATTTTTAAAACGATATAGCATTTAAAAACTTTTCCAACCTGATATAAAGTACACCTAATTCTGTTTTTACACGGTCTTTTTTTTACACGATTTTGATATAACACGGTTTGAAAATTAAAAATTGCATAGATACATATTTCTTTAGAGATAAGGACCCAATCACATATTTTTGCATATGATGTCTTTTTTTACACATTTTTTTCTGGAACCATCTGGAATTAGGTGTATAACTACTCTGTACGTGGAACGGTACGGACTCAAAAGTCTATTTCAATGCATATGTACATACATATGTATGTATGTATGTAAATCGACCATCTCGATAGGTGCAGTCAATCAAAAGCTCAAATTACCTGTATATTTCTCCACTTTCCATGACTGTCGCCTATGGTGATTTCCACTTATATATACATACATATATATAGCCTGTACCCAAAGGGTGAAAGGCTATACTAGTTATGTGAATGTATGTAACAGGCAAAAGGAGCCGTGGCAGACCCCACAAAGTATACATATTCTTAATCAGGATGACATGGCGAGTCGATATAGCCGACTCCATCTGTCCGTCCGTCTGTATGAACGCAAGGATCTCAGGAAGTACAAGAGCAAGAATAACCAAACTCGGTATCCAGATTCTCCTAAGTCCGAGAAAGGTCGAGTTTGTGTTTTTTTTTCTGATGAACCCCCCACTACCCCGCAAATCGTGTTTGTTTTCCATTTGACATTTAAACAAATTTGTTTAATTTATTAACGCACTTAACTTGGGGTTTCACTACATACGATACAATGCAATTGTCTGTACGTGTACATATGTATGCATGTGTATGTAGGTAGGTATGTATGTATATAAACTACGTATGTAAACTAGTATCAAAATTAGTAAAAACCATACTTAACTAATGAAAAATTATCGAAAATATATTTTTGTATGTATGCTTCATTGCATTAATGGATGTACATATATATGTATAATACGGGTGTACTATGAAAGTAAACAACTTAGCACATAAGAATTCATAGAAGACGTCGAAGGCGAGCGACATAACACCTGCTGTTAAGGATGCCCATGCGGGCAGGTCTACGAAGTGGCAATGTATAGGATAGATATTTGCGCGTGATAACGACGATAATAAATTATAGCAGACGATGATAGGGTTCATTTAACCATTTGATGGTTTTAGTGTGCACTTTCATATACATATGTAGTATATATTTACATATATTGTTCAATTATTTGCTTTTCAGTTTCGATGTTGTTTTGTTGGACTTTAGGTGTGAATTTTTACAAAATATCAGGTTTTGCTATGACCAAATAAATATAGCTATATATATAGATATATATAAATTTATATATATAAGAATATTTGTATATATATAAGAATATATATATTTATATGTATATAAATATATTATATATGTTTTAGGTATGTTTGTGCAGCTGAATATACAAGTAAACTGGCCGCCCCTCAATCAAAATTCAACTTGCGAAATGAACCCTCGTTGGTTACGCCGGCTACCAGGGAGGTGCGCTGTTCCTTCTCGCTAGCGGCCCGCAGCTTTTCGTCGACTCCAAAGCGCTCATCGTCCATGAAGTAGTTTGCATAGCTGCTGAGCTGAGTCTCGTAATTTGCAACGGCATCGTTAAGTGATCCATTTTCACCGCCTAGCTCTGCCGGCAGGTATTCTTTTCCAATGGCGCGATGCAATGACTCGATATTGGAGTGTATGTGCAGCTAAAAAATAATGGATCTTAGACCAGATGTGTACAAACACATTTTTTTTAAATTCTCACCAGCTCCTTCTGCTTCATCACATTGCGCACCAGTCCCAAAACAAATTGCGTTTCCCGCGAAGCGTGCACAATGTGGGTGCCAACTAAATTCGTGGGTATGCCGTGCTCAAGGAATGCATTCATGCGTCGGAACATGCCTGGATCGAACTGCAACAGCAGCGAGTAGGGAATTTTGGTAAAATCAATAATCTCTACTACGCCTGCAATGTTCCAGTTGTCATCGGAGTTGATTTCTATTTCGGAGCGGAAGGCATGGAAACGGAAGATATCGCTGACACTGTGTTTCGAGGTCTCGATGAGACCCATGCGTGTGTAATGTATGCGAGGTCCGCCAGGTCCAATGGGATTGGGCAGAGTGGCAAAAATGCTACAAGGACATTAAAGCAGTGTTAGAAAGTAGAAAACTATGAATCCCAGACATTACACTTACCCAGAGCGCGCTAGCTCAATTAGCTTATCATCCACCTGACGATTCTTGAGCAAATCACGTTCTTTGGATTTGTAGGTGTAATAAAACAATATGCGCTTCTTAGCCTCCTCCAAGTCCCAGCGACAGAAACGCAAGAAAGCAACAAGAAATTGATCGTCATTGCGTGCTTCCAAGTACGGCTGTTCGTGAATCCAGGTACGCAACGCCTCTATGTTGCTTAGTATATCGGTCTCCTTCTCATTCAGCTGTGTACGGGCCACCTCGGCCAACTCGGGCTCTAGTGCGCGTATTTTGGCCATTGTTATGGAATATTTGTGCGGGTGCGACGCAAGCTGCAAAATGTTGAACCGGGAATTTTGATAGAGACCAAAAAATATTGTTTGTATCCAACAAAGAGATTTAGGAACTGTCTTGTTCTGGGAACACTTAGTCACCGCCTGCTTTGCTTTTTCCGGCACCAATGTTCGCCAGCAACTGACCAAGTTTTGTAGCGCTTTTCGTAGTTTTTGCTACGACGCGGCGTGGGGACAGTGTCAAAGTGGAAGATAAGATAAAAATGGGTACACAAGCTCTAAAGCATGCTTCGATTAGAGAGCGATATCTGAAATTATTAGACTGACCCTCTCTTATTCAGCAAAGTCCACCCAGATAAGGAACTGCAACCGCTGAAATTGTATCTTTCTGTTTTACTTAATCAATTCAAACTCGAGAGTTTTGGTAAGCAATCTAATCCATTGCAGTCTTATAATTGCCAAGAGCATGGCTGGACAAAGAACACACTTTATCAGCTTTATGGAAGTCCATAAAAGCCGCATATTAACGGCCAAGTGCTACCCACCTTAGTTTTCACACAGCTGCCACGCTACACAGTCCAAAATTGACCATGGCACCAACAAAATTACGTCCCATTAACTCTGACCTGCGCCAAATTGCACAAGTGGAGTTAAATGAGATAGAAACGCGTATAGAATCCGATATTGGGGCTCTTCGTGTCTGGTTGGCCAAGCAGCCACATCTGAGGTCTCGCGAGGATGAACAATTTTTGGTTGCTTTCTTACGTGGCTGCAAATACAGTCTGGAGAAAGCAAAGTCCAAGATCGATCATTTCTATACAATTAAAACTATGATGCCGGAATTGTTTGCAAAAAATGTAATGGACGAGAAGAACATCGCACTCTGTCGATCTGGGCAAGTTAAAATTGGTAATCCGTAAATGAAATACGTCTGTTATAGCTTAAGCCATCTGCAGTACATATGTAAGCCTACCCAAGCCACTGGGTCCAGGGGGACCGCGTATTCAACTCTCAAAGTACTCCAAATTTGACTCCAAGCTCTACAAGCTGATCGATCTCTTTCGCTATCAGACATTGCTGATGGAGCATCAGATACAACAGGATGACAACTGTATTATTAGTGGATACATTGAGATTGTGGACATGTCCAACATGAGTCTCAGCTTCTTAACGCATCTGGACTTTCCGCTTATTAAGCGCTTAGGGGTGTTTGCTGAAAAAGGGGCTCCCATGCGAATTAAGGGCGTACACCTCGTGAATTTCCCTAAAGAGGCGGTGGCAGTCATTAATTTGGCCAAGAGCTTGATGCCATCTAAGCTACAAAAGAGAGTAAGTAGCTCAGTTTTCTTTAGAAAATTCTTGACAGAAATCAATACATCATTATTGTTTGACTAAATGCATATTTTCTAAGAAACTCCACTCTATTTCTTAGACCGCACTTATACAACATTTACTGATTTTATTCAAAAGCAGAAACTTTAACTAATGCAAGAAACTCTCTTCCCCAGTTCTTTGTGTACAAAAACATTGAGGAATTATACGCTACCATACCGCGTGAAAATTTGCCTGAGGAATACGGCGGCTCCAATGGACGCATTGCGGAGATACAAGCGGAAACAGAAAAAGTACTGCTGTCCTATGACCCATACTTTAGGGAGAACGATCAGTATGGTGTTAACGAGCAGTTGCGACCTGGAAAACACATCAGCGCCGATGAGCTGTTTGGCATTGAAGGCTCGTTTCGCAAACTGGATATCGATTAGAGCGTCTAACATTGAAAACAAGTTTTAGTTTTAAACGCACTAATTAAATGCAATAGAAAATCGTACGATACATGTAAAATCTGTCTGTTCCACAATAGCCCGGTCAGTTGCTAAAATGTCGTTGCTTGACAAACTTCCTCCTCTCTTGGCCACCAAGGCTGCCACTGAGCTCAATGAATCGCCAGCACATTATCCCAGCTGTTTTGCCGCTCTGCGTAATTGGCTGCAACTTCAACCCCATTTTAGAAGTCGTACTAGTGACGAATTTCTGCTGGCCTTCCTACGAACTGCAAAGTTTAGCGTGGAGCGCGCCAAACAGCGAATCGAGAGCTTTTATCGCTATCGCTCTGAGCTGCCTGAACTTTTTGCGAATTGGAACATTTTTGAGCAGAAATTTGGGGATATTATAATTTCGGGGTACGTTGAAAGTGTTTTGCAGAGACTCACGTTCATATTGAATTTAAATCGCTTAGCGCCTTAATTTATCTGCCTGAGCCCGCTGCATTAGATGGTCCACGAGTGATTATAATACGTCCCAAATGTTTTGATCTGACGCGACACAGTTCTCTTGATGTCTACCGCACGCTCTTTATTGCAGTTGACTTGCTGCTATATGAGGATGTTCAAGTCCAAATTGCGGGCTTTCTCATCATCCTCGACTTGGGCAATGTCACCAGAGATGTCATGTTGGATTTTAAGCCCCGGCTGGCGCGAAACATAATCGACGGTTTAAATAAGCACATTTTTCCAGCGCGTTTCAAGGGCATGCATCTTGTCAATATGCCCACAATGATCGAACGACTTTACAATTTAGTCAAAGGTGCTATTAGTTCGAAAATGCGCGATCGAGTAAGTAACTGGTAACACTCAAACAAAAGCAAGTCTATTGAAAAGTATTTTATAGTTTGTGATACATGGACAAAGTTTGGAAAAGCTAGATGCCTACATGCCACGTCGCATATTGCCCGAGGAATATGGAGGGACTTACAATATAATTGAGAATCAGGTGAATCTTTTAAACAAATTAAGGAGTAAAGCGCATGTATTGGATGAAGAGCAGAATTACGGAATGGTAGAGGCATATGTGAAGGCTCAAAAGCCTGTTAGTAGTTCTGATTTAGGAGTTAGTGGCACTTTCAAAACATTGGTCATTGATTAAAACAGTATTTACACCCCTCGTAAAATAAAGTACCAGCAGTAAAATGCTGTTGTTCATAAAAATGCTTTAAAGTCTACATATTTTCTATATTTGTTATTTGAACAAGAGGGAACGCTACAGTCGAGGAAGCCCGACAGTGAAATACCCTGTACCCAGACAAACTTCCGGCACTGAGTTATACAAGGTGCGTTCCAAAATAAACAGGACTTTTTGAAGCGCCCCCTGTTGGCGACTGGTGTGTTAGAATCATCATTGAAATTGATGGAAATGGAATTGAACATCTCCAAAACATCGATTTATCGCAATTTGACCGAACATTGGGGCTAACGAAAGGTGTGTGCACGGTTTGTTCCGCACAAATTGACTGACGACCAACAATTGCTCTCATCGATCGACGCTTGTGACCGATTATTTGACCAAAAATCACATTTTAACCATTAACCACTCGCCGTATTCACCTGATATGCCACCGTGCGACTTATATCTTTTCGGTAAAATGCATTTGCCCATGAAAGGAAAGCGTTATGCGTTCAAAAGGCTTGCACCGGCATACTGGCGGCCATACCGGCCAACGAGCTAAAACACGCGTTCGACATTTTGCCTAAAAAACCATTTGTTCTGTTTTTTTTTTAAAGTCCTGTATACTGTGGAACACACCTTTTATGCGCCTCAAGCAGAAGCAAAAAGAAGAAGAGCGTACTTGATGATGCAGCTTGTGGGCGTAGTACTGGAGTGAAATTGTTTCGCTAATTACTTTTCTTATAATTGACCGATTTGGATGATTGAAATCAAAAGTAGATAATTATTATACCCTGTACCCAAAGGGTACAAGGGTATATTAGTTTTGTGCGAGTGCACATGGAACACACAGAAGGAGGCTTGGTAGACCCCACAAAGTATATATATTCTTGATCAGCATGACAAGCCGAGTCGATATAGCCATGTCCGTCTGTCTGTCCGTCTGTCTGTCCGTCTGTCTGTCCGTCTGTCTGTCCGTCTGTCTGTCTGTATGAACGCAAGGATCTCTGAAAGTATAAGAGCTAGAATAACCAAACTTGGTATACAGATTCTCCTGAGACCGAGAAAGGACGAGTTTGTTAATTTTTTCTGATCCGCCCCCCCCCCCACTCCCCCCCTATTACTGATTTTCTATAACTCCCGTAATTCTTGGAATTTTGAACTAAAATTTGGTAGTCACATTAGGTTAGTAATTATATATCCGTATACCAAGTTTCATTATGATAGAATGATCGGAAAGAAAGTTATAGCCATATAACCAGGCCCAATGCACACATACATACATATGTACAAGTACACAAACACGCATAAGGCACGATTCTGATGTAAATGTAAATGTATCTATGCATGCATGGAATATTTTATATTTAATTTAGTTAATTAATTAAATTAATTTAGTAAATTAATTAAATTTAATTAATTAATTAAATAAATTAAATTAATTAATTAATTTAATAAAATTAATTTAATTAATTTTTTGTGGGGTGGTACAGGGTATTTAAGAGTTGAGCCTGCTCGACTTTAGCATTCCTTTCTTGTTTTAGTTTTGAAAATGTGGACAGAACTGGCGAAACTCTGTAGCGAAATTCTGCCTGTTACATACCTTGCACAAACGTAATATACCCTTATTACTTATTACTTACGGGTACAGGGTATACAAATGTGCTGATAGTTCCTAAAAGAATACGAGTAGTTGTCCAAAAAAAAAAAAAACGTACTCACGGACATGGATTCGTCTCGTCATACGTTAACACGACAGTCATCGAAATTGCCTAGCCATACTGATCATATACTGTTTAGAGCTGATATTTTTGTATGTATACATATGTTCATTTTATATATTTGGTGTAGGGGGAGTATATAGCTTTTCGAATACAAGCTTACAAAAAAAAAGCAAACGGTATTCAGCTGCATATTTCACCAGAGCATTTTGATTTTTGCCGAAAAATAACCTATCACATTACAAATTACAATTTGAATGTTTCTCAAAGAAAGACTGCCCCATGATATTTGTAATAATATTGTCTCTCTGATAACTTAAGGATTACATGGTTAGTTATATAAACCAGATAAGAAGCATGCAAGAGTAGAAAGTACGACCTTAGGCTATATAGTAAGACATTTGGGGAGAGGCTCCAATGATAATTTAACTTTTGACAGCCTCCCACACAAGCTTCCTCGCTTGTACATATTTACATATGTACATTCTACATATGTCCGTATACGCATGAGGCGGTGTTATCAATGAAATGTCCAAAGCACTTGCTGCAGAACTGTTAATGGCCCTTGTTATCTAGTTAACTCAATTAATACAAACCTGGGTACGTTTTAGGCTTTTCATGTGAACTTTGCAAATCAGTGCAAATTGGCATCTACTTACAACAAGTAGCTCCGTTAAAATGTCAAATATTTCAATTAATGTAAGTACTTATATAGTCACAATAGCTAAGAAGTCTTTCACAACTGAAACACAGTTTGACTTCAGCCAATGGGACTTTCCAACAGAGCGCATTTGGTTGCATAAGTCCTCAGGAGAAATGACATGGAAGGTCTGCACGTTTGTGCCGTTGATAATCTTTGGCCTGTACGGCAATTACATGATGATTTTTCTCATTGCGACAAATCGCACATTGCGATCACCAACTAACCTGATTATAGCCAATATGGCAGCAGCAGACGCGCTAACACTTCTAATATGTCCAGTTATGTTCCTACTTAACGATTTTTATCAGAACTATCCACTGGGCTCTGTGGGTTGCAAGTTAGAGGGTTTCCTAGTCGCCCTCTTTCTTATCACAGGCGTTCTTAATTTATCAGTAGTAAGCTACGATCGCCTTACGGCTATAGTGCTGCCCAGTGAGAAGCGTCTCACTTTACGCGGAGCCAAAATTGTAATCGCTTGCACCTGGCTAGCTGGCGTGATCTTCGCTCTGCCGCTGGCACTCTATCGTTCATACCGTATTCGCATATGGAAGAACTTCACAGAGTCGTATTGCAAGGAGAATCCAAACGTACTGCCCAAATATTGGTATGTCCTGATCACCATTTTGGTGTGGCTGCCATTGGCAATTATGCTCATTTGCTACACGGCCATTTTCTATAAGGTAGGTAAGTCGCAAAACTATAAATATACATATATTACTTGGATTTTTGTCCCTTAGCTCGACCGCTACAAAAAAAGCGTACTGCGTCGAGAGCACCCGCTGACTGTCAGCTACAAACGCAGTGTTGCCAAAACAATGTTTATTGTTGTTGCAGTATTTGCGGCCTTACGACTGCCCTTCACGATTCTGGTCGTGATACAAGAGAAGCAATTCTCCAGCGACAGCACCGTAAACAGCGGTATGCAGCTTTTCTGGTACATTTCGCAGTATCTTATGTTTCTTAATGCCGCCGTCAATCCGGTTATATATGGATACAATAATGAGAATTTGAGGCGTGCATATAACAAGACCAAGTGCGCCAAACGAGCTACATTAGGATCTCCACGACCACATCGTTGCTGCTACTGCACCTTTATGAAAATGACTAAGCCACCAACTGGTTTAACAGCATGTCTGAAGAATAGCACAGCTAATGGACATAACCAGGAAATACAAGAATCAAAAGGAACGTATAAGTTTTATAATACCGCCGACGACATGATTGTTTCAAATGTAAATGATGTTGGTTTCATATAAAATTAAAATGCCATCATTTTAAATGGTATCCGACTATAAGTTCTAATTTTCAACATCTTTGGATTTTGGGTTATTTCTGGAGCAGAAGGTTTATTTCGAACTCCTTCGATATCCGAAAATTTTATTATCAATATCTGAAGAGTGAAAGTATCTATATATATAAAACAGTTTGTCCTGACTGACTGACTGAATGATTGGTGATCAACGCACAGCCCAAACGGTAAAAGCTAGGAAGCTGAAATTTGGACTCAAGTATCCTTTCATACTTGTAGCGTAGGCTGGGGATAAGAAGGGATTTTGGAAAATTCGAGCTCCAAAGGGGGCAAATCGAGCTCCAAATTTGTATAAAAAATCTACAATTTACATCTGATTAACTTTGTATACTCCCAAAAGAATTCCAAGAAAAACTTCATACTTGGTTTTTTGAATATTTTCTTGGAGACTGAATTATTGGGGCTTTTTTGGGGCATGGTTTTTCGTTTATATCTTTATAAGGATACATCTTAAGTTAATCATTTTTCGTTTTCTTCCATAAGGATAGATAAGCTACGAAACTGCATTATTAGTTTTTTAATAAATACCTTTGGTTCTGCCAGGTAGCAAAATATTGGATTATGGTACAGGGTATTTAAGAGTTGAGCACTCCTTATATGGTTTATTATACCCTGTACCCGTAGGGTAAAAAGGGTATATTAGGTTTGTGCAAAGTATGTAACATGCAGAAGGAAGCCTCTCCGACCCCATAAAGTATATATATATTCTGAATCAGCATGACGAGTTCTAGACATGCCCGTCCGTCCGTCTGTCCGTCTGGATTAAAGCAAGGATCTCAGAAACTATAAAAGCTAAAATAACCAAAGTTGGTATCCAGATATTCCTAGGTTCGAGAAAGGATGAGTTTATTTTATTTTTTTTAATTAGGGGGACCTCGATACCAAGTTTGGTTATTCTAGGTCTTGTACTTCCTGAGATCCTTGCGCTCAAACAGTCAGACGGACGGGCGGACAGGCGGACATGGCTATATCGACTTGTCTTGTTATTCTGATGAATAAAATATATACTTTGTGGGGTCTGCCACGCCTCCTTCTGTGTGTTACATACATTCGCACAAAACTAGTATAGCCTTCTACCCTTTGGGTACAGGCTATAAAAATACTCATGCAATAATCGACAAAATAAACAAGAGAGAACGCTACAGTCGAGCAAGCCCGACAGTGTAATACCCTGTACCCAGGTAAACTTCCGTCACTGAGTTATATGCGCGCAAAGCAGCAGCAAAAGGAGGAAGAAGAAGAGCGAACTTGTTGCTGCAGTTTGTGGGGATTGTACTGGCGAGAATTTGTTTCGCTAATAACTTTTCTTAGAATCGACAGAATTGAATAAAATTAAACAACAGTAGATATTTATTTATAAATTATGTGTGCAAAGTATGGTTTAGGTAGCATTTGAAATGTGGACGCTATTGACGAAATTCTGCAGCGGGGGAAGGGGGGGAAAATTAAAAAAAAAAAAAATAAACTCGTCCTTACTATCTAGGAGAATCTGGATGCCAACTTTGGTTATTCTAGCTTTTATAGTTTCTGAGATCCTCGCGTTCATCCAGACGGTCTGTCCGTTCGTCCGATTCTATATCGATTTCTCTCGTCATGCTGATCAAGAATATATATACTTTATGGGGTCGGAGATGCTTCCTTCTGTATGATACATACTTTGCACAAACCTAATATACCCTTTTTACCCTACGGGTACAGGGTATAAAAAATCGATTTTGTCAATCGCGCAAGAACGAGGGTTTTCATCGTGTTAAAAAAGAAAAGGTAGCAATTTTGTAATTGCGTTAGTCCGAGTTGGCATTAAAAGAGTTAGCGTTAAGCGAGGGCTAGTTAAAATTACAAGTGAAGGGTGTTCCGACTTTGCAATACTCTGTACATATGTGTAGAATAATTATAGAAATTACAAAAATTAAACAAGTAAAAAAGCTAAAGTCGGGTGTCCCGACTTTGAAATACTCTGTACATATGTTTACAATAATTATAGAAAAAAAAAATGAAAATTTAAAAAAATTTGATCGATTTTACATTTCTCGGTATTCGAAATCACGTAAAGGGTATATAATAGCAATTGCGTCTGTGTGAGTGTATGTATGTTTATGCGCATCTATTTGTGTCTGTGTAAGCATTTTCGCAGTCAACTAAACAGCAACAACAACAACAGCCGCGGGCAGCGCTTGAGCAGCGCTGCAACAGCAAATATATTTATGGATATAACTTCTGTTAAATCGGTCTACCATAGTGAAACTTGGCATACGGACACATAATAACTAACTGGAGTATTTGCAAAATTTTAGTTCGAAATTCCAAGTATTCACACAAGGCATCATGGACTAAAATGTGGTGTTCCTAGGTCTTATAGTCTCTGAGATATAGGCGATTATACGAATGGAAAGACGGGAAAACCCCCATAGGGGGGAAGTGGGGGGGAAAATCAAAAAAATAAAACAAACTCGTATAGCGTACACACATAAGGCATCTTTGTGCAAAATTTGGTGTCTCTAGCTCTTATAGTCTCTGAGATCTAGGTGATCATACGGACGGACGGACGGACGGACTCGCCTCGTCATGCTGATCAAGAATATATATACTTTGTGGGATCTGCCACGCCTCCTTCTGCCTGTTACATTTTTCAGCTCGCGCAAACCTAATATACTCTTGTACATTTCATGTACAGAGTATGAAAAGTGTAAAAATTTTTAAGGGTGTATAACTGCACATTTACATAGGAATTGTGTCTATGCGAATCTATACATGGTTATGCGTGCCTGTGTGTGAGCATGTAAGCAGTACAAAACAAACCAAAGCATCAACAACAAGAATAGCTGCGGGCTGGAACAGATAGAACATATGTATATGGCTATAACATCCTTTCAAATCGGCATATCATGATGAAACGAACGAAGGCATACAGACTCATAATCAGTAACTGGGTGTATTTACCAAATTTGTAAAAAAAAAAAAATCCCAGAATTGTGGAAAATCACTAATTGCGTTGGAGAGGGGGGACGGAGGGAAATTCCAAAATACACATTTTCTGCGTATTCACATAAGGCATCTTGGCCTAAGATTTTGTGTCTCTAGCTCTTATGGTCTCCGAGATGTTCATATGGCCAGACAGACAGAGTTTAATCGGCTTGTCATGCTGATCAAGAATATATATATGTATGTATGTACATATGTTGGCACACATCACTTTTTTAAGTTTTTCGTTTGATCATACATATGCACAAATTATTATTTTAACGCATCGTGCATTATTCAATGAAAATTTTAATTGCATTATCAACATACTTGTACATACTCGTACATATGTATCTACATATGAGTATGTATGCACATGTGTACGATATGCGTAAAACATTCTCACAGCTGACGTCGCGACGTTCAGAAAATATTACCTTTGCCGCCCTGTTTTCCCGTCTTCCTCTTCTAAATTGACTGCAGAAACCGTTAACCTTCTTGCAGTATATATTTTACATATGCATCCATATGTACATGTGTTTTCGTTTGCGCCCCACGTGTTAGACTTTTGTGTAATATTGTGTCTTTGTGAATATGTGCCGTATAATATTTATATTGATATTTATGCTGATACGCTTCGGCCATATGCTCGAGGTGCAGTTTAAGCCCAGTCATCCCACCAACCTACTCAGCCTGGATCAGGATACACCACACCTGCATAAGCGAAATATGCCCCAGTTCTACGACAAAGGTTTCTCAAATAAATATCAATACAAAAGTTTATTCACACAACAAATTTTGCATTAAGGTATACCAAACAGCTCCGACTTCATGTAGCTACAGCCATGCTCGTCAAGATATTTGACGAACTGGGCCATATTCATGACGCCGTTTTCATTCAAGGAGCCGCCTGTCTGTGCATTGAAGAGTTGCTCCGTAAATCCTTCAAAATGATGTAACTGTGTCCTATTACCTTCAAACTGCTGCACCTCAGACTTGACTATTGTGATTTTTTGCCAGCGCATCGCTTTTATCGATTGCCAAAATTGCTGCACGTCTTCACGGTCACCCTCCACGCATATTATTCCTGGCTTTCCGGGTCTACTAAAGCCACTCAAAAGGAGCTGTCGCGCCTCTTTAAGAATTTTCTGCCGCTTGGCACTTGACTTTATGTGATGCGAATAGATCCATAAGCGCTCAAAGTCACGCGTTGAAGTGACCGGCTCATCAACTAACTCTTCAACTGAACTGTCTGCTTTTTCTTGAAGTCCAACGATCTGGTCCTGCACCCAGATGAGTAGCTGATAAACATACGGTTCCTCCGTCTGCTGCTCGCTGATATATTGATCCAGTTGTGACTTAAAAAGCTGCTCGTTCGCTTTACTGAGAAGCGGCGAGTTCACGCTGACAATGGGACATTGCAGCAGTGGATACAGATGTGGCAGCTCTATACCCACTGCTACATGCTTGTTCCCGGGCATAGTTAATCGAACGCTGTAATCTAAATGGGCGCTAGGAAGGGAGCTGAGTGTAGACGTGTCGCTTTGTAGAAACATATTGAAGTCAACAATGACGCCGGCGTCGAGAAGCTGGAGCTCCCCCGCTGCACAATAGATCGAACTAAGCAGCTCTAGCTCCTCCAGCTGCTGCCTCAAACAGACACGATAACTATGTAGCTCGGCCATTGCTGAGAGAAAGAGAGAGGGAGATTGGAAGTTTTTTGATGTACAATAGAAGTCGCTGACGAGAAACCCTCCGCTTAAAATAACTTTTTCTTTTTTCAAATTGCTTGTTTCATTTAAACATAAAAGTCACACAACAATGCGCGTTCACCATAAATTCACATCAACAATCAGTTTGCTAGTTTAGTTGTAAAATACCTATAGACTAATCAATACAATTTCTCTCAATTTTTACTGTAGTCAGAGAATATAAAACTGTCAATTTTCCTCCTCCCTCTCAGCTGCCTTCAACTTCGACGGACTAGTAGGCATTGCATCCGTACCGGTCCCCTATCCACTGGACATATGTATGCTTCAACTTCCAACGATCAAATATGCAACGGTTCTGCACAAGGAGCGTACTGGGGGCCGGCTGTTTGCTGTCTATGGATGGCAGGCGTCGGGTGAGAAATACGAGCTGCTCCTTCAGGTGCCCGCGGCGGCAGCTGTGACACTGGACTGTCTTGCGTACGCGGGTCGTGGCTATGTAGCTCTTAGCTATAATCTCACCGAACCAGCGCAGCAGGCACAGGAGGGCTCACCTATCTATGAGCTTTCGCCTGACACAGGCATACGTACCGTTCAGTACTTTGGAGCGGCCCATCTCCGTGATATGTATCTTCGTATTAGTAGCCAGGAACTGACACTGCTGCAGACCTACGATGAAGGTGCAGGGCATCAACGTTGCCCCTATTTTAAATGGACTGGTGCCACCTTTGAAAGACTAGGCAGCATTCCCTGCAGCAATGCGAGGCAGTTGGAGGCCTTCGGTATTGACTTTGCCGACTATGTGGCCGTGGCCAACTACGCGGATGCCGACGGGCACACCAATGCACACTCGGAGATCTACAGGTACAATGCAGATTTGCGTCGCTTCGAGCTCTTTCAGAGACTGCGCAGCAATGGCGCCGTGGATGTGAAGTATTTCAGTGTGCCGCAGAATGAAGTGAGCCGCCGGCATTTTCTGGTGCTGGGCAACACGGTCGGACGCGCTGGAGGTAACGACGAAGCGGACACGGTGTTTTACGTGTTCGATCAAGGACAATTTGTTCCCTATCAGCGTTTGTCTTTTTACGCCCTGCAACGATTATTGCCCGTTCAGGTGGGTGTTTTTTAAAGATTCAGTCCCCAAATATATATACATATATGTATGTACTTGTATATGCGAATTGCAGCATGTCATCGCGGAAAAATTCTTGCTTTTGGTAGCCTGCAACAAACAGGATGTAAAGATTTACAATCTGAACGACTGGAAATTTGAGGAATCGAAGGTGCAGTTTACCGAAGGAGCCTTCGGCAAGGGCGTATCACATATGCGCAGCTATGAGGAGGATGAGCAAAGCTATCTGGGTAAAAAAAAAACACTGTTTGGGACAACTTGCTGATGAATCATCCATATTTTCCTGTTCCCGTAGTTATTGCCAATGAATTAATGAACGCCAACGAAACAAATATATTTCGGCCACTCTACAAGCAAGATGAACATGCGAATGCGCTTCGTCAGCAAATTCTAGAGTGGGCTCATGCACAATCCACACGATTGCAGAATTTAAATGTAGAGCATATACTGCAGGATGTCCAAAAACTGAAATTATCTAGCAATGGAGCCTTACATAATCCACAAATTCGACGCGTGAACACCAAATCGGTGAGCATAATTAAAGCAAAATTGAATCTATTTTCTCACCATAGTTACTTGTATATCTCCAGAGAGAGAGAGCAATAGTTGACAATCGGTACATTACCAAATATTTAAATTTGTTAAGGAGAACCTTTCAACTACTATAATACAAAATGGTATAAAGTTTAGATTAATTTGTGCTTTCAATATAAAACGAAGAATTCAATGTTCCTCATTACAAAAACGTTATCTTACAGTCTCCGTACTATCTATCTTCATTAGGCAGTACTTTTACTTATTTTGCATTTCGTCATCCGAAGGAGTGGTACTTGTACAACACCATCAGTGATGACATTTTCAATATGGAATCATTAAATTGGATGTCGCAAACATCAGATATCTAAGTATAATAGCTAAATATACACATATATGTGTATACCAATCAGAATTCAATAGCAAATTCGTCCAAACGAAAGTGATATTTTATATTAAATTTGTAAAGTAAACAAAATCTTAACTAATGGGATTGGTAATGCACCATTATCACCCACAAGATGATATATTGATAAGTTGTAATACATAACACTAATATAATCATACTCAGTTGGTAGATGAACGCAAACATTTGAGTCCTAATTACTGGGATGCCTTACGCTATGCTAAACGGGCCTTAGATGCCATTGAGCGTCAGTCTGCACATTATCAACCATCGACGTTGCGTCGCTTGGTTAGGCGTGAGGTGGAATACGAGTTTGACGACATTATGGTGGAAAATTTAGTAGTGCACAAGAACCTACAGGCGGACCATATTAATGGAATCAACAGCCATGCGCCCGTGTACAACACCATCAAAACACCAAAAGTCTATATAAGGGAGCCTAATGGCAAGGAACTTCCAAGACATCGGCCCACACACCTGAAATTCCATATAGAAGACTTGCAACTGAACGGTACACTTAATGGATTGAACTGGACTCAGCTGCTGGACCAAACACTAAAATGTAGTGGTGTCGATGTTCAGTTCATCAAAGCACCCGCAACTATTAGCAACCTGGCTGCTGAGACTGTGATGGTTAATAGCAATAAGATGAATGACCGTTCTCTGGATCAACTGATTCCTACCGATGGCGGTGATTACATTGTACAGCACGATGTGCAATTTGCACATCTAATTAAGGTAAATCGACTTGAGATCAATCAACGACTGAACAACATTCATGTGGACCGTCGACATTTCGACGTACTGCTTAAGAAATCAAATGAAACCCAGATCATCGAGGGCTCCAAACACTTGGAGAACCTAAAAGTGCTGGAACCTATTAACATGGCGGTGAGTTTATGCCATCGCCTACAAAAATATATCATTAATAAAAACTTTTAGGGTCAAATGCTGGGCACCAAACTACGAGCTATTTCACCCATGAAAGTCATCCACCATTCGCTGCAGCTGCATGGCGATTATGTGATTGGCGGTGATGTAACAATTGGAGAGCGGTTAACATCGCTAGATCTAGTAGACGCAACCACTCAGAAATCATCAGTTTCTACGCTGCAGCAGGGTGTGCAGCTGAATGCAACCCTACAAAATATCAACTTGCGTTTTGAACAAGCTCTGAATTCGAAAGATACTGAGCTGAGTTTCATCAATGCGCATGATCTCCAGCATTTGCTCGAGCTAAATGTAGATAATGTACAGGTGATTCAAGGGGAAAAGCACCTTCCGCAAAGTCTCGAAGTGAGCGAAGGCTTCAGCGAAGTAAAGTGGCTAAATGACATCGATGTAGTTAAACTGGAGCAGCAACTGCTCCTGCGGACAGGCAATCAGAGCATACGCAAACCTATGAGGCTGGCCGGCCTAAAGGTTAAGCAGCTGACTACGTCACAGGTACAGTTACTGCTCAACGATCAAACCACAGGAAGCTATTTGACTCGTCAAGGGGATCAGCACGGGAATAGTACTTTATATATTCAACGGCTTTATGTACCAAACGAATTAAATACACGCGAGATGTATGTTAACGGCAACATATATGAGCGCCACCTAAGCGATATTTATTCACTGGGTAAAAGCGCGCAGAGTTTTGCACTTCCCTCGAATTTCAATGGCACGATCTTTGCTAAAAATCTGTGGCTGAAAACATCAATGAACGATTTCAGCGTGTCGGAGGTGGAACAGCAACTGCAACAACTGTTGGGTAATGTAAAGTATGTTGGCGATTTCAATTTTGGCCATGCAACTAACATAAGCGGCCTAAGATTTGACGGCACTCTCAATGGTATATCCGCCTTAGAGTTTGGCAGCTGCTGGCTAGAGATCGATGGCGATCAGAATTTTATATCAAATCAGAGAGTGGCAGGCGTGGAGAGTGTATTGGGTATTTGGTTAAACGGGCATTTAAATAACTATACTGTTGCCGATTACAGAAACGAAACCTATAAATTAAATGAGTCTGAAATAATGCAAACTGTTAGATTCGGTAAGTCTTTGTCTATATTCATAATATATATATAAAAAAACAGTAAAATGTATTGTTACCTACAGAAAATCCTATTGTTGTGCAGTTGCTAGAGGTGCATCTGCTAAATAATCTGCGTCTACCTGAAGATTTTCTATATGCAACGCCTGATGCGATCAGTTACATGCAGGCACCCATCAGCGTTAACGGTTCGCTGCATTCCAGCCTATGCAACGTCAGCAGTCTAAATGGCATAGAGATCAATGCTCTAGAGCAATATTTAGGAGATCAAAAGTATGATGTTCTCTACGTGGAACATGTGCAATTTGAAAACAGCCTGCCACCAAATTACGGGACACTGAACAGACGCAACCTAAAGCACATAATCAATGAAGTGTGGTTGACCAACGAAAACATTGTGCTGGGTAACCAGGGGCAGCGGGTGCAGCTGACACGAAGTATCTTCGAAGGCTTATTGGAATTCGAGGTGAGGTACAAGAAACAATTGTTCACAAAGTGCAGGTAATATCGAACACGTGTCTATTTAGGGCGCTATAAATGGCATGAGTGCGGCGCACATCAAGCATAACTATTTTAGCTTAACGCGCAGCCACCAACACGTCCACACTGCGTTGAACCTTAAGCATGACGTCACTTTTGCACAGCCTCTTACAGCAAACAGGGTAATGTTGCGTGGAAAAATTAAAAGTGATATTGGCGCACTTGTTGAGGGCGAAGGGTAAGTGTGTGAATTATTTAAGTACCTTAGTAGTGACCACGGGAATTTGTTTACACGCTAAAAACAGTTTGGGAAGCACTGCCGCACACTAAAAGGTGAATCAGCTGTGCGCTTTTGTTTGCAGGTGAAATTTTGTTACTGTACACGTTGCAATTTCACGCAATTTACATGTAATTGCATATTATTTATGAGTTTTTAGAATTATTGAAGTACATTACCTTTTGTTTGTTATATTGTACTTTACTAAATGCACTTTTTATAGGCAGTCAGCGACTTCAAGCTATTTGTAAGACTTTGCGCACAAAAAGAAACATTGCAATAATAGTGTGACCATGCCTGCGATAGCCAAATAATGTCATGTCGTGCATTAAAAATACTAGTTTTCAAATCAGTATTTTGATTCGTTCTAAATTTTAAATTGTTTATAGCATTAGAAGATTCTACGCATTTTAAGCACATTATTGGACCACAGACTGAAAGAATATACTCTGTTCTCAAAGCGTAAAAGGATTGATTCGTTTAAATAATTTAAATTTTACACAATTAATTTAAAACAAGAAAGGAATGCTAGATCGAGCGGTTCTCAACTCCTAAATACCCTGTACCCACTACCACAAAAAAAAATATTTTAAAAATTAATTTTAAACAAAATTAAATTAATTTAAATAAAAAATATTCAATACATACATAAGTAGAGACATACAGTTCAACAATATACATTTAAATTAGAATCGTGACCTATCGTGATGAAACTTAACATACGTACATATAATCATGAATCGGATGTAAATACCAATTAATTAATTTCAATTCGAAATTCTAAGAAATACGGGAGTTATGAAAAATCACTAATAGCGAGGGAGTGGGGGTGCATCAGAAAAATTATACATACATATGTATGTACTTGATCTGCATAGGATTTTGGGGAACCTGGATACCAGGTTTGATTATTTTAGCTCTTATACCTTCTCAGATCCTTTCGCTTATACAGACGGACATGGCTGTATCGTATCGTCTTGTCATCCTGATATATTATCATATGTTATATACATAAGTATATATACTTTGTGGGGTCTGTCACGCCTCCTTCTGTGTGTTACATACATTCGCACAAAACTTGTATTTGTACTCTTTTACCCGTTGGGTACAAGGTATAAATATAATTTTACAATTTTTTATGGGAGCTATGTATGTACATATGTATGTATGTATTTAAGTCATAAATGAAGGCGTGGTAGATCCCACAAATAATAAATATTCATGATCAATATGACAAGAGCACTTGATATAGCCCTGTTGGTCCGTGGACCTCAGAGTCTATAAGAAATAGAGAAACCAAATTTTGTACACAGATGCCCTATCTGTGTATGCTATACCAGTTTGCAAGGGCGTACGCAGCTTTTTCCAAATGGGGGCCAAAAAATTAAAATTTTGATTAAATAATGCACAATGCGTTAAAATAATAATTTATGCATATGATTAAAAAAAACTTCAACAAATTCAACTCAAATCCGTCCCAGCGTACGTCCTTGCCACTTTGTTATATTTTTTATGTACCCCTCACTCCCCTCATCATGGGCTTTTCGGGTAACCTTGTTTTTTAATTTGTATAATTATTCTACACATACAAGTATGTATAGAGTATTTCCAAGTATAGATATCCGACTTCAGGTTTTCCTCTTGTTTTTGTTTGTCAGCGGGAGAGGGTTCAGGATAATTATAACTTTGACCCGACGGATTGTATCCAATCGGTACAGTTTTGGTATTGTGTATGGTACATATTACATTCGCACTAAACTAGTATATGCTTTGGGTACAGGGTATTTACGAATGAAGTCCACTCGACTCCCGCATTCCATTCTTGTTTGATGATCCGCAAAGTACTTAATCTGAGTTAGGTGGGTTTCTTTTTGGGATCTACTTGTTATACCCTGTACCCACAGGGTAATTTTCACATGAGTCTAACATTCCTGATTATGATTTGACCCTTTAAAACAGTAATAAATCTCTTGATTTCGATGAATTTGTGTACAACACCCTAAAAACCTGGGGAAATCACACCGTAACAGGAAATTGGAGCATTCTAGATGCATATGTACTTGGAAATTTAAGCTTTGTGCATCTGAATCATCTGAATTTGGTCAATGACGTTCTGCGAAGCGATGCTACAAACGCGGTTAAATACATAAGCGCCCCAAAAACTGTGCACCGCGCACTAATCAAACGTCTTTATACAACTCCCCCAAGCACCGTTGCCGGAGTGCCGGTGAAACAGTGGATCGACGATGCAGTTTACATCTACGGCAATCACAGCATTATAGGAATCACAACACTTGAGAAAGTAAATCTCTACAATAATCTGTGCGTTGAGGGGTCCGTCAACGATATAGCGTGGAAGCAGGAAAAACTGCTACTTCGCGACGCAGAGCAGCATGTGGAAGGTATGCTGTTGGTGGAGAACACACTGCCGCAGGAGCAGCGTATATTGACCAACAACATTGAAGAATTGTGGGTGGATCGAATTCGGGAACTCTCGGTAAACGACCTGATCGCAAACAAAGCAACCAATCGTCCCAATTTGCATATAGAAAGCCAGTTGATATTTAATCAGCCTCTGGCAGTACGTAACTATCAGGTTGGAATCAATCCCAGCGAGGCACCTTATAAGTGGAAGCGAGGCTTAAAAAGTATGGACACAGACGAAATGGACTACTGGCAGGATATGACACAGCAATTGGCACATGTTCAGCAGCGATTGGCAGGTGAGATGTGAAAATAAGCACCAATGCATGTATTTTAATATAAACTATCCTCGCTGAAAAGCAGCCTTGGCAGGGGTCCTTTGCTAGGGGCACATGTATTTTCTTAGAATTGACCGCTTTAGATGCAATTTTAAATAAACAAGTAGAGAAGCTAAAGTCGGGTATCCCGACTTTGAAATACTCTGTACATATGTGTAAAATAATTATGTGTGTATTCGTGTATTCGTGTGTGTCTGTGTATGTCTCGTGTGCCTGAGCATCTGGGACTAATATTTGGTGTCCCTAGGTCTTAAAGTCACCAACATATAGGCGATTATACGAATGGAAAATCGGGAAAACCCCCATCATAGGGGGGAAATCCAAAAAAATAAAACAAACTTGCACAGCGTACACATAAGGCATCTTTGTGCAAAATTTGGTGTCTCTAGCTCTAACTCAAACTTGGCAAATACCCCCAGATAGTGATGAGTCTGTATGCTAAGTTTCATAATGATAGGCCGATTTAACAGGAAGTTATAGCCATATATGTATGTATGTATGACCAAGCAGTTCCCGCAGCTGTTGTTACTGCTTTGCACAGGCACTCGAGAAATACACACACATACACGCACAATTATTCTCCACATATGTACAGAGTATTTCAAAGTCGGCACACCCGACTCTAGCTTCTCTACTTATTTTAAATTATTTTTCATCTACAGATCCGCCGTACGTGTTGGAAGACTTCACGTTGCTACAGCAGCTGCCACTTAACGCAAGCCGCGTGGAGGTTCTGAACGTGGATGCTCTGGATGTGCTATGCATTTCTAAAAACTTTAGCAAGGAACGCCTTAATACGACCTACTATGTTTGGCAACCGTCGGAAGAGAGATTTATTTTAAACACAAGTAAGTTTAATACGATTTTATTTTTGCAATGACATGGTTGCGAATTTAAAACTAAGACATGAAAACAAAAGAATGATTGAATACAATTGCAATGTCAGAATGCGATGAACTTGGCGGATAGCTGCGTACAATTTAAAATATTAGCCCAGAGGGTTGCTACTACTCTACTGCGGTAACTCTTATCAAGTATTGTTTAAAGTTCTGCTACTACTGCTCTAGCTCGTCGCTCTGCACGTCGAGAATGGCGCGCAGTATACCCATCTCTAGCTTAGCGGCAGCGCGTCGTGAAATTCGATTCATGACATTAGCAACATATAGTCCCAATGCCTCATGTCGCGATGAGTGAGAGTGGTCAAAGTTGCCTAGATTGATTATCTCTGGAGCCGTGGTGGCATTTGACACCTTTACGTGTCCGTTGCCTGCATCAAAAATAATGTCGTTTTTAAAGTCCAGCTCATCGTTGTGCGGCGAGAAGCCGTTGGTCGATGTGGAAGCCACTGTGGCAGCTGTAGAAGACGTGGCAGCGCCAATGTTGCCATTGACCATCGGTACTGTCGTTGCTGCCGGTATGGTGATTATGTTGATGCCCGGAGGCGGCGATTGGGTGGACTCACGCTCTTTCTTCACCTGCATCAGCTGTGCCGTAGTTGTGTGCACCACGGGCGTTGGAGCACTATCAGCTACAGATGCAGTTCCGCTGGCGGCTGTATGTTTCGAACTCTTAATCAGCTTCTTTTGAGTGGGAGTGCCGTAATCTTCGGACAACTTGCGCTTTAGGGAATCGGGTAACTGAATGGTGGTTCGCGTTTTGCTATTGCTTAGCTGATTTGACGCTGGCGTGGATCGGGAGCCGATCGCCGCGCTTGGCGTTTTCTTTACTGTGATGCCTTTTTTTTGGAGGGCCGCCGCTGCAACTGACACAGAGGTATGAGGCGAGGCACGTGTATTACTCTGAGCCATAGTGTTAAGTAGCTTTTTCTCCTCAAAAACCGGGCGTGGTGTATCGACGTTGGTCTTCGTATAGCTAGATTTATCCTCTTTATCTGGTGAGCCAGAGCTGTGTGATTTGCCTGGGCTTTCGCCATCTGATGAAGCGGAGCCAGTCGAGTTGGCGGGCTGCATAAAAGGCATGGCGGCATTTTCCTCATCTTCTTCTTGGTCCTGGACCTCCAACATTTCGAATTCCTCGACCTCTTCCATGGGCAATTGCTCGCTAGTAAATGTACAATGCGGCAATAAGCGTATTCTAGTAGAGTAATGATAATATTTGTGTGCTACACTTACCTTTCCAACTTAGGCTCTACTTTGTGCTCTTGATGGATTTCGTGCATAAGATTGAATAACTTCCAGGAGGAATTGCCTTTTACTTTCTCCTGTTCGTATTTTTTTTGCAAAACTATAAAAATAGAACGCGATTCATGCACCGAAAGCTTATTCAATCGTCCAATTCGTGCCCAAGCCTCGTCCTGCTCCTGTTTGCTGGCGCCGCCATTGTTTGGATGTAATGCTTTCTCCTTGGCAATATCCGCGAGTATTTTATCCAGCTTTATAGCCATTTTTGTCAACGACGTCCCGGCCAGCTCTATCTTATTAATTTTTTACACTTTTTTTAAGAAATTGCTGAGAGCGGAGCTAAATTTTCACTTAAAACTGCAGCCGCTTTGCTTTTCGCCTGGTCTCTTTTTGCCACTTTTCACAACTTCGCTTTTCTTGTATTCGACGACGCCGACTTGGCGGAATAAATTTAGGGGTGCGAGATACGTGCAAGCATAAGCGACAACCCTGACGCAGGCAGGCACTGCGGTAAATCACTTCGGGATTGGACTCCAATCAACTTCTATAACCAGTTACAAATAAAAGCAATTCGCTTGCTTAAAAAAAAGAACAAAAGTAACCAAATAAATATTTTTAAAAAAGCACGGACTGAACGTATCCCGGTGATACCGGCAAAGCGAAATGCGTAATAACACGGTGTTTTCCAACTCTAAAAAAATAATAGAGGCCCAGCGCAGATACAAACATACATATGTATGTACATATGCACAGGCACACATGAACATTACTGTATATACGCATACATATGTATGCATATGTGGATTGTTTGGACTATATGTATTTTGTTCAGACTTTTATTAATTTCATTGGTATCATATCAATACCATTCGCATGTTTCTTTGTTCCATTATCTATGTCCACCTAGGCGAGCGTAACGACATCTACTTCAGTTTTGGACGAAATGCATTTGACTGTCTCTACACGAGTTGCCTTGTCTGTCACTGACGGGTTGCTCACCACGAATGGGAACTCTGCCATGCCATAGCAGGCAGCAGCGTACTGGCCCAAACGATTTACTGCAATGACGGCACCCGAAAAATCCTTGTGGTACTTGACCACTCGGCGTATAGCTAATGCCGCAGCCTCCGTCGGTGGCTTACCAGCCCGCATGGATTCCACGGCCAGAAAGGATGGCAAAAAACGCATCATTACATCACCATCACCTGTGGCCACAGCTGCACCAACCTCATTGTCTGCATATGCGCCCGCACCGGGAATCGGTGAGTCGCCCACGCGACCGGCTATCTTGTGTCGAGCTCCGTTGGTCGATGTGCCAGCATGAATTTGGCTGTCCGCATCTATGGCAATCATCCCAATGGTGTCGTGATTGTGAATGCCAATGCTGTATTCTGCTCTTATGCGATCTTCCTTCCAGCGCGTGATGGGCGTTGGCCGTGGCTTGTACGGCCCGCACGAAATTTTCGGATCTGGAAAGACATTCCACCAAAAATTCGGTTGACAATTTTGTGCCTTCCATAGCTCCCAGACAGCTCGCGACTCGGGTGTGGTCAACGATTCGGATCGGAAGCCCATGTCATTGGCAAATTCTGTGGCTGCATCACCGACCAGGAGTGTATGCTGTGTATGTTCCAGCACACTACGAGCCACACGTATAGCATCTTTAATGCGTCGTAGACCAGCTACTGCGCCCACCTTCATGCTGCTACCATCCATAATCATGGCGTCCAACGTCGTCTCGCCTAGCTCGTCAGGCGAACCACCGAAACCAACAGTCCCGTCGCATTGCATCTTCTCACACTTGGTGCATCCCTCGACTACTGCGTTTCGAGTCAGACGAAGTCCTCCTTGTGTCTGGTTAAGGATGCGCCAGGCCAATTTGTTGGCTTTGGTAAAATTCCAGGTGTTGATTACCATGGGCAAGACCATCTGTTGTCTATTGCTAGCAAAATTGTTGTTGTTATTGGAATTGCTATTGTCGCCAAAGTATTTGCCTGAAAGGACCACTGTCGTCAAATTCGGCTTGGGTGAAATATCTCGACTACAGGACCCCAAGGTCAGCGTCGCCGCCACGCAAAACATTAACATCAACGTTCGCCGGCGCATTTTGGAGAGCATTTTTTCTATTGCTTTGTCTTCGCTGCTCCACTTACAACTGTGCGCTGCACTCGTAGCGCCACCGCTTTTAAGGCCTTTTCTAACCTAAAATTTGCTTATCAGTTGCCTCTAATTGCTGTTACAGATTTATCGGCGCTTATTCCGCACAACAAAATGCATTTGCACTATAAGTCTGGATTCAGCCCATTTATTGCCACATCTGCACCTAATTCGTACCTTATGAGTCCACTATTGCACTTAATGGATCTTGATTGCCTAGCGTTCAGACCAGACTACGATCAGAAATTACACATACATTGTCTTGATAAGAGAAGCTACAACAGAACAGTGGCTGTCATTGCACGGACAGATATAAAACAGCTGTTGCCACTGGTGCCGAATGACGCGTCCGTTCTGCTTCTGCTTCTTCACAACAAATTGGAGTTTTGGCACTGGCGAAATGACAGTTATGCGATGGAACTAAGCATGTCAATGATGCATGCTGAGCAAATAGCGCTGGCACATTACGACAGTCGCAGATACTTGGCCGTTCTTATTAAGCACCCAGGAGTCGAGAAGTCAGCCGGCACCGTTGAAATTTACAGGCAAGTGTGTTAAATTGAATTAGGCATGCATGGTCTTGACTCTTCTGCAACAAATATCTATGAATTACAGTGCCGTTAACGACTTGGCGCCGGATTATAAACTTGAACAATCTATCGACTTCGATGTAGATATGAAGCCGCGTCAGCTGCTTTTCATGCAGCTGTCAAAATCTAATGATTTATTATTGTGCATTTCAACGACGTCTTTGACGCAGCCACTGCGAATCTACCAGCAGAAAGGAGTTTCCGGCTTTCAGTTAATTGTAGGCGCCAGCACATTGCCCGCTATACGATCTTTGTTTCTGCTCCAGTTACGAACGACGCAGCGACAATTTTTGGCATTTGTGGCTACCGAAGGTGGTGTTTTCATACTGGAGCCACTACTGAAATCACTTTAACATCACAACAGGAACACTGATTCAACATACATTTTCCGAAGCCTTTACTGCTTCATATGTACATATGTGTAGTATGATAATCATTAGTAATATTTGTTTCTAAATAAAAAATATTTTTTATTAACCGTACATCTTGTTGGCGGCAGAATCTTTGCATTTAAATTTAATCGTCGCTGGATTCAACGTTCTCCGTTTGCAAATTCTTGAATGTTGCCACCGGAACGTAGGTTACCAATGTGAACAGTTTGTTGGGTGAATCCTCATCATCGTTGCGGCGACGGGCCAAACGCACGCGCACGCGGAATGGTGTGGATCTGAAAAGTGGGAAGGCAGCATTATTAATTATAGAAGATTTGCTGTTCCTTGATTCATACCTGATACCCTTGGACCAGATGTGCTTGTTCAGACGTGTGTCAATCCTCACATCAGTGGTTCCCATCTCCCGTTCGGCAAACTTGCGGATTTCCTTGATGGCGCGGGGAGCCCTCTTTTTGAAGCCGATATTATGCACGCGTTTAGCCAAATGAATGGTGCACTCGCGTGTCACAACTTCATTAATGGCTGATTTGTTGCGTTTCTCGCCCTTGGTCTTTGCCATTGCTATTGGTTAGGCCGTAACGTGCTGTTCAATATCCTGTAGCGAAGAAGGCAACATAGTCAATGAATTTGTAAATAAATGCAGCGACAACCAAACAATAACAAGGCTTAGTTTTCAACAACTTAGTTTAGACAATTAAACACACACGTAGGTTTCTGCACTGCGGCATTTTATCATGGTCATGTGTTACATTGCGTGCAGAATTTAATTTCACTTATGTCGGTGTGTTTGTTTGGTTGTTAATTGTGATGTTTCCTGATTAAATTGCAAGAATAACCAAAACCAACCTATCGGAAATGAAAGCTCGACGTAAAAGAGACTGTCAAGTGTCAAACAGCGGGATTGTCAAAATGTAGGTGGCGCTTAACAAAAGTTACCCTGTTAAAGTGTGACCAACTGAACTCTTAAAATACCTAGCAGTATGTCTTAATACTAAATCGTGATATCTTTTTCCGATCCAATTTTTTTATTTTAATATTTTTTGAGAAAGAAGACACGCTCTAAAAGAGATACTCTTTGTAATTTGGATTAATTATATATGACATAAAAAAAGTCTGTTTAGTACTTTGTTGTTATTTTCATATTCAAATAAAGTTATTGCAAATTGGGTACCTTACATCCACGATTGTCCCACGAAAAAAATTGTATGCAAACAATTTGAACGAAAATGTTACATTTCTTTTTCAAAACTACCATAATAAAAAGCACAAAATTGAATAAAACTATAATTTATTATAATTACGAAAAAGTATAATTTTGAGAAACCTAACCAAAATACTTATTTTGGTACTAAAAAACCAACAGAAATCAGTATTTTTATGAAGTTTAAATTAAAAAAGTTATAAGCAGTCAGTATTTTTAATTTCGGTCACGCTGATTCTTTTGCAGCCAGGCGAAAAATACAGAGAGATGCAATTACTTTAAACAAATATGCTTGTCTCTTCATGTAACTTTTATTTTAATTAGCTGGATGCATATGTATGCATTTATAATTACCAAAACAATGTTCTTCTAGTGTGTTTGCTGACCGTTGGCCTTCTCTGGGGTGTCACAAATCCCTACATTCGAATTGGCAGCACGGGTATAGAACGAATTAACACCGGTTCCAAATGGCGAAATCTCATTGAAGAATTACGCACCATATGTAAACGCTTACATTATTGGATCCCATTTTTTATGAACCAATGCGGCAGTGTGCTGTACGTGTGGACATTGCAGAGGACTAACATTTCCATTGCCGTGCCCGTTGCAAATTCTTTGAGCTTTGCTTTTACGGCTATAACAGGGTACATATTGGGTGAGCAGCTGCCGGGAAAAAGTAAGTCTATTTCGCACAGTTCAAATAAAGATATTTATATTACAACTTCATAAATTTCTTGCAGAAGTTGTTACCGGCACACTGCTCATATGCTGCGGGAGTACTTTAATGATTTATGACAAACTACAGCAAGAACAAGCCAGTCAAAATATAATATTCAGCACATAAGTTTCCCTAACCAATGGTTAAATTGTCTTTATTACTGACTAAAAGGCGTTAGAAAAGAATAATTTGCGCATACAACTACAATGCTTTGTGCACAGCTTCCACCAGTATCTCCATGCTTGTTATAGGTGTCTGTGGAGTTATGCCATGTCCCAGATTTGCAATATAACGCGATTTTCCAAATTTATGCACCATTTCGGTGGCCAGCGTTCGCAATTCTTCTGGATCCCGATACATGTCCTGCGGGTCCAGATTACCCTGTAATGTTATATTGGGACCAACCTGAGCACGAGCCTCCGTAGGATCCACAGTCCAGTCCAGGCTGATTACATCATACCCCAATTCGCTTTGCTCCTTTAACGAATGGCCTGCACCCTTGGCAAATAGTGTCTAGAAATAATAATAGGGGAAGTCAATTTAATAATAATTTAAAAATAATTATTGTAATTGCTTCTTACGATAGGCACCACCGGTATAACTTTTTTAGTTAAGCGATCAACCAACTCATCCCGTATGCGCCGCAAATAGGGTACCGCCCATATCAGAAACTCCTCCTTAGTCAAGTGCTCCGCAGATGATTCGAAGATTTGCAGCATTTGTGCTCCAGCCTTAACCTGCATCTCCAGATAATCAATAACGACGTCGGTTAAGAGGTTAAGAAACAGTTTGGTGTCGTCTGGGTAATTTTTGATCCAATCCTTTGCCTTAGATAACGTCTTGCTGCCACCGCCTTCTACCATATAGCCCATTAGAGTCCAAGGTGCACCACTGAAACCAATGAGTGGAACGCGTCCATCCAACTTGTACCGCATCATTGTAATAGCCTCACCCACGTAGCTCAGTCGCGACAGAGCACCGTCCACCGTCAGACGCTTTAGGTCCTCAGGTGTGGTTATTGGTTGCGGCAATACTGGACCGACGCCAGCGTGCATTTCAACCGTACAACCTAAGGCCTGCGGTATTACTAGTATGTCAGAGAATATGATAGATGCGTCCAAATCAAAGCGTCGCAGCGGCTGCATGGTAACCTCACAAGCTAACTCGGGTGTGCGACAAACCGTAAAAAAATCGTGCTGCTTGCGCAATTCCTGAAATTCGGGCAAGTAGCGACCAGCTTGCCGCATGACCCAGACAGGAACTCGGTCAACGACTTCTCCACGCGCTGCACGAAGAAGGTTGTCATTTTTTAATGGCGGAAAGGGCTGTGAGAATGTAGAGTTGTTATAAGCTTGAATTTGTGACAACAACAGCAACATCAAAGTCGGTGTCAGCCCAAGTTTGCCCGTTTGCATGTTCTCTGCACTCCCGAATGTGATGTAACTGTAAATGCTACGTTGTTAGAACTTACCTTTGTGCCTTTCATTTCCAATGTAGTTACTCTTACTTATTTTTGTTGTTTTTGCGTATTCTACGCTTTTAATACATACAATTTTGAATAAATTTTAATTCACTTTACGAAAAATGACATTTAATTTTTGATAACATTTATTTCAGGTGGCAGCCTGACCTAACATCTGCTTGTAGTAGTGGCAATCCTCTGTTAAACAAAATTTTTTAGGTGGCAACTTTTGCGGGCATGTAATTTGAAGAAAAATACCGGCGGTTGCTAGCATTTTTGTTTAAATTAAGCTTTAACAGCTGTATGCTTAAATGGAATCTCAAAAACCAGAGCAATTGTAGACAAGCACGATGCTAAAAATAAAGAACTTTTTATGAAAAACGAAAAATATTTAATTTCAGTTAAAAGGCTGCCACCCGTTAAGCTAAAATAATAAACCATAAGCGTGGGATGCCTAATTGGTAAAAATATTGAGACATTACCATCGATTACTTATTGTATTTGTGACATCGCTAAGAAAAGTGCATTCGTGTCAATAGTAAAACGCAATAGTTCTAATCGTTCAATTTATTTTGGAAATTAAGTTGTTCTTTGCAGTTAATATACAAAAGGTTGTTTGCTTGAATTATCAATTACTATTTGTTCATGAAACATTAAAATTTCAGCTTGACATGGCTGATGAACAACCAAATTTAGTTGCTGGTCATCCGCCTGCGTGTAAGTATAATTATGTACATATGTACTTACATATGTATGTATGTTCATATTTATGTACATTAAATGCTTTAGTACATGTTCATGGGGTTTTTAAAATATTTCGGTTTTTATGTTAAAGAACATAAACTATATAAAGTGATGCACATATGCTTCACTATTTGTTCTTTTATCTCACTTTACCTATAAAACAAAAGAAAATCAGTTGAAGTGCTTGCTGATAAATTGTAAACATACATACATAAATACATATACTCTAAATGCGTAGTCGTTTGCTGACGTCAACACAAAATAAATGCAGTTGTTTACTTTTAGTGAAAGCCGGTGGCATGCGTATTGTTCAACACAAAGCGCCTACATCTGAACGTCCAGCTAAGGATGCTGAGGATTGCACTGGTCTTACGGTATATTTTACTCGGGACAAATAGACTATTTAACATTAAATTAATCACTCTCTCTTGACTTTGCAGCAACCGATTAGTGTTAACTCGGGATCGGTGAGTGGAGCACCCATCAAGGGAAACACGGATTTCACACCAGCATCCGTGCAGGTAGCACACTTGCCCAAGCCACCTGTGGCCGTAGCCCAGAAACCGCAAAACCATATACAACAGCCACGCAAGTGAGCTGCGTTGTCGTTTATAAAATATTGGTACTCAATAAGTTGAAAACTTCTGACGAAGCTGCGACTTTATTTTCCGTTTAGCCTTGTATTTTATATTTTTGCTATATGTATCTTTATTAAGTCGAGTAACTTAATTGTAATATTCATTCCAAATGCATTTTTGCGATATGTCAACTTAAATAAAGTACTTACAGCAATTTTGTAAAGGTGTGTGGGCAATCAGTCGATGTACTAGCAATCTAAATGCATCATTGTAATCTACAATGGTTTTAAACTAACAATCACCATTTAAAATATGGGTATAGCCTTTAATCGCAATTTCACATTTGAAAATGGCTGCGGTGTGACCAAACTACCAATGATACCGATCATTTATTTTGTTCGTCTTGGTTGGAATTCCCAAGCGCTTATTCGCCCTTTATTGCAATAAAATGTAACGCTCTCGTGCGACAACTGCCTTTCTGAGCAATGGTTGGTACTGTTGTGCGGACTTCAAATCCGTATACGATTAAAATCGTAGTGGTTCGATTCCACCTGAGGGGCGGGGAGGTAGTTGTTGTATATAAATTGTAGGGTTTTTAAACATCCGTTTCTTCTTTTACAAAAACACCGCCTGACTGCCTAGGAATTATATTTAAAACTAGTATAGCTTTACACCCTTTGGGTACAGGCTATAAGAATCAGCTACATTAGAGAGCTATATGAGAAAGAAGAAATAAGGAGGGGGGTTACAAAGATGTAATTTTGAATGCAATATATTGTTGAAATACAAAAAAAAACGAAGTCTTACAAAAATAAGAAAAAAATGCTAAAGTCGAGCGGGCTAAACCAGGGCTGCCAATTTCGCTTTCCCGTCAAATGTGGCTGTTTTGTAAGGCGTGTTGCGGGAAAAAATTAAGAAATGCGGGAAGCGGAAATTGTGGATTTTTTTAGAAATGTGTTTGGCTTTTTTTTTAATAATATAATAATAACAAGTAAAAAAGCTAAAGTCGGGTGTCCGACTTTGAAATACTCTGTACATATGCTTACAATAATTATAGAAATTTTAAAAATTTAGAAAATAAAAAAAAATTTGATCGATTTTACCTTTCTCGGTATTCGAACTCAAGTAAAGGGTATATAATTGCACATATACAAAGCAATTGCGTCTATGTGAGTGTATGTATGTTTATGCGCGTCTATTTGTGTCTGTGTAAGCATTTTCGCAGTCAACTAAACAGCTGCAGCAGCAAATATATTTATGGCTATAACTTCTTGTTAAATCGGTCTATCATATTGAAACTTGACACACGGACACATAATAACCAACTGGGGGGACTGTCCGTCTGTCCGTCCGTATGAACACCTGGATCTCAGAGACTATAAGAGATAGAGACACCAAATTTTGCAAAAAGATGCGTTATGTGTGTACGCTATACGAGTTTGTTTTATTTTTTTGATTTCCCCCCCACTTCCCCCCTATGGGGTTTTCCCGATTTTCCATTCGTATAATCGACTATATCTCGGAGACCCAGGAACACCAAATTTTAGTCCAAGATGCCTTGTGTGAATACGCAGAAAATGTATATTTTGGAATTTCCCTCCCTTCCCCCTCTCCACAGCAAATGCGATTTTCTCTAACTCCCGTAATTCTTGGAATTTCGAACTAAAATTTAGCAAATACTCCCAGTTAGTTATTATGTGTCCGTATGCTAAGTTTCACTATGATAGACCGATTTAACAAGAAGTTATAGCCATAAATATATTTGCTGCTGCAGCGCTGCTCAAGCGCTGCTCAAGCGCTGCCCGCGGCTGTTGTTGATGTTGCTGTTTGGTTGACTGCGAAAATGCTTACACAGCCACGAATAGATGCGCATAGGCATACATACATACACTCACACAGACGCAATTGCTATGTAAATGTGCAATTATAAACCCTTTACGTGAGTTCGAATACCGAGAGAGGTAAAATCGATCAAATTTTTTTTTTATTTTCTTAATTCTTTTTATTTTCTATAATTATTGTAAACATATGTACAGAGTATTTCAAAGTCGGGACACCCGACTTTAGCGTTTTTACTTGTTTTTCCATTGATTTTAATAGGTTTTAGCATATGATCAATGTCTTTTTTTACACGGTTTTGTTCTGGAACCAATCTACGTGTAAAAACAGAATTGTGTACTACCAAACTGCCGAGATGCTTGGCTAAAAAGGGAAGAATTCAAGGCTTTGATTCGCAAAGATGACTCGGACGGGCATAGAGTTTACTGCAGCTATTGCAAGATCACTATCATAGCCAAGCTTAGTGATTTGCGCACTCATGCAACAACAAAGAAGCACACAAGTGCAATGAACTGTTTTATTCAAGAACAAAAATAGACTTTGTCAATTTGCCTGACAAAGCTATGCTGCTTTCGACTACCAATTGCCTAATAATTATTTACGCATGATTGGTCCGACCATGTCGTACAAATGCAAATGATTTAATGTAATTATCGCCTTACAACAAATAAATTGGTAAAACCATAACCGGTTTTTATAGCCTGTACCCAAAGGGTGAAAGGCTATACTAGTTTTGTGCGCATGTATGTAACACACAAAAGGAGGCATGGCAGGTCCCAAGAAATATATATATTCTTGATCAGGGTGACAAAGCGAGCCGATGTAGCCATGTCCGTCTGTATGAGCGCAAGGATCTCAGAAGGTACAAGAGCTAGAATGACCAAACTTGGTATCCAGGTTCCCCTGAGCCCACCGCACTATGTGTTTTTTATAACTTCCGTAATTCTTGAAATTTTGAAATCAATTTTGGTAGTTACATCCAGTTAGTGCTTATGTATGTGTCCGTGTGCCAAGTTATAGCCATAAATAAAATAGCTGCCCATGCGCTGCCTGGAGCTCTGCCCGCAGCTATATCGATGTTTTGATGTTGCGGGGGAAGAACATCGATTTATGGATGCCTCGAACTTCTACTAACGAATTTTCAATACAATTTTATTACAAAGGTGACTTCATTTTGATGTGTTAACTTATATATAAAGCTAATTGTTTTCATTAAATACAAAAGGTTTCAAAACAAACGATATTTTCACAAATTCAAAGACTATAACAAAAACAGAGAAAGTGTAACATACAAAAATAAAAATGGTGGTCGACATGTATCGATGTTACATCGATGTCCAGTACTATTAGAGAAATTCTTTGCATTTGATTTTCGTCATTGCTCTTGCATTAGTTGTGAGAACAAGTAGAGAAGCAAAAGTCGGGTATCCCGACTTTGAAATACTCTGTACATATGTGTTGAATAATTATGCGTGTATGTGTGTGTTTGTGTGTGTCTGTGTATGTCTCGTGAGTCTGAGCAAAGCAGTAACAACAACTACAGCTACGGGCACTGCTTGGTCTTATGTGCATACATAGTATATGGCCATAGCTTCCTGTTAATAAAAAAAAATAAAAATAAAACAAACTTGCACAGCGTACACACAAAAGCCAATTTCCCTCCCTTCCTCCTCTCCTACACAACTAGTGATTTCCCGTGTTTCTTGGAATTTTTTATTGAAATTCGGAAAATAATCCCTGTTAGTGATTATGAGTCTGATAATGATAGGCTGATTTAACAGGAAGTTATAGCCATATATGTGTGTTTGACCAAGCAGTGCCCGCAGCTGTTGTTGTTACTGCTTTGCACAGGCACACAAGACATACACAGACACTAAGTCGGGACACCCGGCTTTAGCTTGTCTACTTGTCTTTCGATAGTGTTACCTAGGAAACAAGTAAAGTTGACTAACAAGTAAATAAACTTCAAAAACTAGAATGTTACACTAAATTTGTGTGCACTATCGGGTGATTGGCACAGCTACTATATATTTAAAAGTACTCAATGGATGACTTGGCCATGGTAACTGCAAAGGAGCTCCTGATGCTTAGAGAGAGCTGCATGCAGAGCATCCGCGAAGGTGAGCTTTACCAGTTGCGGAACGATGCCAAACTACGGGCAGTGAATACCACGCAGAGCTACGACGAATTTAAGTGAGTAGTCATTAGATGTGGAAATTTGTAATGTAATAAATAAGTAACTAAGCTAGTAAACTACTTTTAGAGATATTGTGGATGCAGCCCATCTACGTCCCATCACCCAAAAAGATAAGGCCGATGCTAAGACTAAGAGCCGCCTGTGGAACTCAGCGGCACGACAAGAGTATTAGTTAGTTGTGAATAAATAAAATGCTCTTTCCAATACTATCTCCAATGGTTTTTTATTTAAATTAGTTCTTAAACGGAACCAGCAGCGTTGACCACCCAGGAGCGGAGGACTGCAACATCGGCATATACACCGGGGTATTTAGCAGCTGCGCAGCCATAGCCCCAGGATACGACACCGACCAGTTTTCCACCGGAAACCAATGGGCCACCGGAATCACCTTGGCAAGCATCCTTGCCGCTGGCAGCAGCGCAGATCATGCTGGACTTGATCTCAGAGCCATAGCTGTAGGTGCTGGAGGCACACTGGGCTTGGCTGACAATTTTCACATCGACATACTGAAGGGTGGTAGGGATAGAGCTGGATCCAGAAGCCTGAGTACCCCAGCCAGACACAGAAGCGGCGGCGCCATTAGCGGGAGCGCTAGTGGCCAGAGCGATTACCTTGATGGTAGAGCTCAAGCTCAGAGCGGAGCTCAGGCGGATGACAGCAATGTCGTTGACCATGGTGTTGGCGTTGTAGCCTTCGTGGTTCTTGAATGCAGCAACAGCGACGAGGGTACCGCCAGAGTTCCAATAAGTGGAACCAGCGCGCACCTTCAGGGATGAAGCGGACACACTTTGCAGACAATGGGCAGCAGTCACAATGATCTTGGAGTTGTAGATAGAGCCACCGCAGGAGTGAGAGCCACTGCGCTGCAGAGAGATCTGCCACGGGAACGAGCTGATGGTGGTGGAGGAGCCGCCAACAATACGACCATCCAACTGGGGCAGCATGCCCTCAGGAATGGCAGCACCGAAGGCGCAAGCAGCGAACGACAACAATACCACAAACTTCAACATTGTGTAACTACAATGAAATTCAAGTTAAATGTACGCCCCTTTTATACTAACAGGTTGGCTTTAGCCGGCAGTCCATTTTTGATATCAATCACTACTTTTTAGTATATTTAAAAAAACGACGCATTAGATAAAATCAGCGTGTTAAGTGTTAGTCCGCTGACGTCTAACTGATATGTTATATCACACTCGTATAGTATCGCTGTTGGTTGAGGTTTAAGGGTTCATAATTACTCGGAACTTAACTTTAATGGACACATGATCAATTTTAATTATTCCAAAAATAGTTGAAGAATTGGTTCAAGCTCTTTCTGGTATTAAAATAAGACTATGTGTATATAGTAGAAATAATTCTCCTATTACCTCTACCATTATTACACCAGAAGGCATACGTTATGTATTAATATTGTTTTTGCAAGTTGGTAAAGTGGAATGTTGTTGATCAGCATGACAAGACTCAGTCGATCTGATAAACAGGGCACCGAAGAAGATATAATTGAAAACATATATGACATACTTAATTTTATAAGAGGAAAGATTTGATTGTTTGTTTCTTCATTTGGATTGAACGAGGCTGCTTATTAAGGAACTGCAGAACAATTTAAATGTAGCAACCATTATCAAGGGCCCAGTAGCTGGTCAACTAGCTCATATACCGAAGATACCGATGATCCCAACTGATCTGTCAATCCCATTTAAACGGCTTCATTTTCCGGTAAAAAAAACATCTTTCGCATTAACAATACCCAAGGTCAAACCTTCGAATTAGTAGCGTTCGACTGAATGTTGGCGTATCACAGGCCATAGCTCCTGAAAATCAATTTAATTGGCTGCATTACAATAAAATAACTCCAAAAATCGTTTATAGAGAAGCTGTGACTCAATAAATAATAACAAGCAAGGAATGGTATAGTCGAGCGCGCTCAACTCTTAAATATCCTGTAACACCCCACAAAAAAATTAATTAAAACAAGAGAGATCACTACAGTCGAGCAAGCTCGACAGTGAAATACCCTGTGTACCCAGACAAACTTCCGTCACTGAGTTATATGCGCCCATGAGGAAGAAGACGAGCGAACTTGTTGCTGCAGTTAATAACTTTTCTTAGAATTGACCGAATTGGATAAAATGTTAAACTAAAGTAGATAACTGTACATTGTGTGTTTGGTTTAAGTAGCTTTTGAAATGTGGACAGTATTGACGAAATTCAGTAGCGGGGGAAGGGGGGAAAATTCACTGACGGACATGTCTAGATCGATTCGTCTAGTCTCGCTGATTAAGAATATATATACTTTATAAGGTCGGAGATGCTAATATACCCTTTTTACCCTACGGGTACAGGGTATAAAAAACTCAAACTGTATTCACTAGGCGCCGAGAATTTAATAGTTGAACAGTTTTTAGTAATCCTTCGAAATACTAGATGGCCTATTTATAGGACGATTATAGCACTACAACAAGTGGAGAAGCTAAAGTCGGGTGTTCCGACTTTGAAATATTCTGATACGTGTTGGCGTGTATCTGTGTATGCTTATATACATAAGTGTTTGTGTACAATTTCAACAGCATACATTTACATCAGAATAGTGTCTATGCGTGTTTATGTACTTGTCCATATGTATGTATGCAGCACTAAGTTGAACCAAAGCGGGCAGAGATTACATTTATGGCTAAAACTTCCTTCAAAAAAAAAAAACACAAACTCGTCCTTTCTCTGACTTAGGAGAATGTAGATACAAAGTTTGGTTATTCTCGCTCTTTTACTTTCTGAGATCCTTGCGTTCATACAGGGGACGGACAGACGGACATGGCTATATCGACTCGTGTTGTAATCCTGATCCAGAATAGAATATACATGTAGGTCTACCACGCCTCCTTCTGTGTGTTACATACATTCGCACAAAACTAGTATAGCCTTTTACCTTTTGGGTACAGGCTATAAAAATACTGTCGAAGATAAAATTCAACTGATATTGCCGGCGTTGATAGCCAATGATTTCGGATTTGGCATCTGTTTGGCAAACTTAACAGAGCTTTGCCAGTGTAATGAATGTATTTTTCAGCCTAGTTTGAAAATCCGCTAGTACCATTGATATATGTATTTTGAATTGCTACACATAATATCTAATTGCCTTTTCACAAATGTACAAGTATATGAATAAAAGACTCTTTCCAATACTTTCTGCGATGATTTTTATTTAAATTAGTTCTTAAACGGAACCAGCAGCGTTGACCACCCAGGTGCGGAGGACTGCAACATCGGCATATACACCGGGGTATTTGGCAGCTGCGCAGCCATAGCCCCAGGATACGACACCGACCAGTTTTCCACCGGAAACCAATGGGCCACCGGAATCACCTTGGCAAGCATCCTTGCCGCTGGCAGCAGCGCAGATCATGCTGGACTTGATCTCAGAGCCGTAGCTGTAGGTGCTGGAGGCACACTGGGCTTGGCTGACAATTTTCACATCGACATACTGAAGGGTGGTAGGGATAGAGCTGGATCCAGAAGCCTGAGTGCCCCAGCCAGACACAGAAGCGGCGGCGCCATTAGCGGGAGCGCTAGTGGCCAGAGCGATTTCCTTGATGGTAGAGCTCAAGCTCAGAGCGGAGCTCAGGCGGATGACAGCAATGTCGTTGACCATGGTGTTGGCGTTGTAGCCTTCGTGGTTCTTGAATGCAGCAACAGCGACGAGGGTACCGCCAGAGTTCCAATAGGTGGAACCAGCGCGCACCTTCAGGGATGAAGCGGATACACTTTGCAGACAATGGGCAGCAGTCACAATGATCTTGGAGTTGTAGATAGAGCCACCGCAGGAGTGAGAGCCACTGCGCTGCAGAGAGATCTGCCACGGGAACGAGCTGATGGTGGTGGAGGAGCCGCCAACAATACGACCATCCAACTGGGGCAGCATGCCCTCAGGAATGGCAGCACCGAAGGCGCAAGCAGCGAACGACAACAATACCACAAACTTCAACATTGTGTGACTACAATGAGATTCAAGTTAAATGTACGCCCCTTTTATAGTAAGAGGTTCGTCTTAGCCTACAGTCCATTTTCGAATTGTAGCATTAAAGTTGATTAAGTAAAAACAAGATAGTAGAATGCTACCGTCGAGCAAGCCCGACAGTGAAATACCCTATAGCCAAACAAACTTTCGCTTTTGTTGTCAAATTGTATCGCTAATATATATTTATATATATATTTACTTTATGGGATCGGAGATGCTTTCTATTCCCTGTTACATATTTTTGACAAGCCTTAAATACCATTTTCTCTTCGTTTTATTAGTCTTCGGCTACAGGGTATACAAATAGATTTCTTTTCCCCCAACCTCATATACCACATACAAGTATGTATTATTTATTTCCTTTTTACGAGTACCCGAGTTATAACGTAATCTTTTGTTTCTATTTCAATAATTAAAAGCTTAATATATATCATTTGATCTTTATACCCTGTAACCGAAGGGTATGATAGTTTAGTGCGAATGTACATAACACACAAAAGAATATATATTCTTGATCTGAATGAAAGGACTAGTCGATATAACCGTATCAACGCAAGGATTTTAGAAAGAATAAGTGTTAGAATAAACCATTATAGCATTTCTGTATTGTTATGTCAGTGCATGTATGTATGTTTGGTGAATCTAAGCTTCGTGAATATTGGCGCTTGGCTTACCACTAACTTCCACCCCAATTGCTCCAAATGCGCCAAATTGTATTTGTTTTACATAGGTGTGCATTTATTTTGCGAGCTTACGTAGCTTAGATTGTACTTTTCTAAGCGATTTTAATATAATATAATATAATAATAATAAGTATTTGGAGAAAACAGGCGAACTATTTAAATTTTATTAACTCAGTCACGATCCAATCTACTGTGGTTGGTAGATTTATTATTAAATATAGATTCATTTTATGACTGAATATAGCTGACCTTTTTTGAATCGATTATCATATCGATCATGTTTAGAGATTATTGAAAGCTAGTGACGGTAGATTAAGAGGTGTTTCAGAGTGTTTCAGAGAGAGTTTCAGTGTTTCCTTGAATATCTTTACTATAAAATAAGTGCTTAAGGTATGCACATCTGGATATTTTTGATTTTAAACTTTAGCTAAAATATATTACAAGAGAAATGATTTTGGAAAAATCCTCAAG